CAAAACCTTATGTAGATAACTAATTTATAATGGATATTTTCCCAGTTTGCTATTGGATGATTTGTGGGGGTTGGTCAAATCGAGGTATGCTGTCAGTTTTATGAAACGGTATTTTGTTAGCCGTCGAAACTTGGAGTTCCGTCTTGTGTTTGTAATTAGTAATTACCAACTTACTATTGTTCTATTGTTTTTAAAGACTCAGTGTGCCTTTTTATTGAACTACCATATAAATTTTATTACAATTTATTACTTACCAAATACTACCTTTATTCAATTTTGTTAGTTACTTGCGACGTCCAGCGAGGAAGAAGTTGAGATTGTGGTCAATGACGTAATAATCCCTGATGAACATCCATCAAATTGAAATGGATTAAAAACTCCGACACATTTGCCGGTTGCTGCCAAGATTATAATTTTAAACGTATTTCCGTTTCTGAAATCGTTGTCTGAGGAAAGTGGAGTCATAAAATTAACGTCTGAGATGACTAAAACACCGTATGCCACCGTACGTGACATAGTTGTGGGCGGTGTCCGAGAAAGAAAAATGCGAAAAGAACGTGGGGTCCCAAAAAGTCTACTTGACATGCACCATGCCGGAATAGTGAGACGGTTGATATATGATGCGTATCAGAAGAATATTATTTTAACAATTAAAACATTATATGAAGAGTTGCGTAGTGTTTTGAACATTGATTGTTGCCAAAAGACTTACGAATAGGCTTTTATTACAAAACCAGCAATAAGAGAGTTTTGATGGAATCAAGAAGAATTTTGTAGTGGAGGACAAAATATTTGAGAGAAATCCAAGAAATTTGTGCTATAAACGTCCCCATCATATATTTAGATGAGACCCGGTTTGGTAACCACGATACTGTCAAGAAAGGATGAACTGATGGTAACAGCAGGAAATGTTTGGATGTTGGATGTGCAAGTTTTGATGGGGAAACGAATTACATACTACATTCGGTCTCTAAAGCTTTGTTGCTTTCTGCAAAAGATACCAAAGAAGTAAAGGTTGACTACAACGAAAACATGACGGCAGACATCTACAAAAAAATGGTTTTCTGAAAATTGCTTCCCAATATTCCACCAAACAGTGTTTTCGTGATGAACAACGCCAGCTACCAATATACACAAGAAGCAGTTATTGGAAGTTCTTAAGACGGTAACGTTGGATAGTTGTCCGCCTTCCACCATATTACTGCAATTTTAATCCGATAAAACTGATGGGGACAACTGAAACAAACTTTAAGAAGAAACAATACCTCGCCGAAAGTTAGTTCTGGGGCAACAGAATTAATTAGAAGTGAAGTAGAAAAAATGTCATCGAAGAAGAAAATGTTTGCAAAGTTGACTAGTGCCAGAATTACTTATTAATATGGGAGACGAGTCCATTGACGATAGTTATTATTTTATTGCAGTATAACTTTTTTTAAATAAATATGTTAACATTGTTTTATAGCTAAATTTACTCCTTCATTTATATTTATAATAAACATTTTAAAGTAAGAATGGATTTTCCACTGCATGGACTAATAATAATCGAGGAATCTCACCGATGAAACTCTACACAAATCCGTCAGCTTTCAGCATGCACGAAGGTACCGAAGTACGGTTCTGGAAAGTCATTATGGAATTGCGAATCTATTTATTGGGAGTTACAAAGAGAAACCCAAGCGAGGTAGGCCTGTGGTTAGACCTTCATAAAAATTTATCAAAGTTAAATACCGGATTATGTTGTAAAAACGGTATTTCGTTGGGTTATTTCTACCCGAATAAGCGACACTAAAGCATTATTCGTGGCTCTGTCATTACTTTTTCCGGCATAAAATCCAATTTTATCGTATTTAAAGTTTAATGTGGAAGCCGGAGTTTTGTAGAAGACGAAGCAATATTAAATACAAAAGATGTCATTTCAATTGGGTTGCAGAAACCAATAACTTAATGGACATTTTTAAAATGTGCAATCTAGCAAAATTTAAAAAGCAAAGTATCCATAAATCGCCTTGCTTGCAGATATAAAGCTGGACTTGTCGTTAAGTTACAAATATATTGCTAAATTACATTAGGTAAAAAAAAAAGAATAAAATGTTTACATTAAAAATTATTTTTAGGATAACTGTCGTCATTGAATGTTTCGTAAGTGACATCCATCAACAGAGAAATTTGTATTGTGTATATATTTAAAACAAGCAAGTTTCCCAGAAGAATCAACACAAACACCCCGCAAACATGAATCTCAAATGAAAACAACGCCAATTTTACTTCCGAAATAATTTTTCAAAAATTCCGGCAGACGTCTCATTTAATTGTAAAATCGGCAATACCCTACCAGTTTTTCATCACGGAAGTTTGGACAAAATGGTTGCCCGAAAGCAGTTGGTGTTGAATCATGACAATGGCCGGAAATAAAATAAAGGGACGATACGATAACTACACAAAATGTAACAGTTTATTTAAAAAATCGGCAATTATTAGTTACGAAACGGTATATTAAACATGAAACTTTTGTAAAATGTTTGTTGTATCGTTCTCGGGGCAATTTTATATTTGTCATGTTTTACCGATCTAGCATATTTCTAGTTCAATAAATTTATAAAAACTATAAACCTGCCGCAAAATGGAAAATAAAAAAACAAAAATGTACTCTGATATTATTATTTAACGTCTAACAGAATTTGATAAGCGAAATAAATAAAAGCGACTGCATACGAATAACATTTATTTTTAGCGTATGACGATTTTAACTGGAATTCTAAACTATCGAATGGGCAACTTATAATTATTAGTTTCAAGAATGGTTTTTAGAGTTTAAGGACCCAAGAAGAAATAGTGAAACTCTCTTAAGCTAAAAAATAAATTATGTACTAAGAGCTTATAACCTGAGAGACTGGATTACAGTAGAATCATGGTAAAAAAAACTAACCAGTATTCTCTGGTACAAAGCAACAAATTCTGTTTTACTAATTGGATCAAGTATGCGGATAGCGTCACTTTAAGTCCAATCCCACGCGGCGGAATCAAAGCGGAATTTTCGAGCGGAATACGCTTCCGCTTTAACTACACCATATAGCCAATGGAATAGATTCCGCTTCCGCTTTTATCAGTTTCCCTTCTACCTGAGAAACAAATGCCAGTACATTACTTTACAGATAATTAATGCAAGTTTTCACTTCAACATTTCTTCATCAAGTTTCAAGCATTATTATTACCCTGGCGATAATGAACTTGTTTACGGCTGCTGTGAATAATTCAGTGGTTGTTTTGGAAAACCATGTTCTTAAGTTCTTTATCCATGATATCCTACACGTTCCGAGTCTCTTTTGTCATAGATTTTTCACTGGAGCATATCCTTAAGGAGATGTATTTGTCTTCGTTTCGCATTATATAGCCCGGAAGGAAATTTGTTATTTAGTTTTTTCCTCGCTCTACCGCAGTCTAGTTTCTTTATCTACATTTACTTAGTAGTTAGTTTACGTAGTAGCTTAGTTTTAAATATTATTTTATTTAATTAAAAAACTTAATTTTGTAAAAAAAAAACAACTATAATGACAGTTGTTGAAATCAATAGTGCAATTTCTTAATTCATTAACAAAATACCTTCAATTGTTCTTCCAGGATGAACAAATTTTCATAACACCACATATTATCATTGTATTACTATGTACAGGATGCGCCATATTCTATTCCGTTATTTCAAAAGAGGTTGGATTTTTTGATTGAGCACACACGTAGTCAATTAAAAAAACTAAAAGAACAAATCTTTAGAAAACACCCTGTATATTATTATGGACATCGAATCCTCGCGAAATAAGGGTGATTTTCCACTCTTAAGCATCTAACTGTCAACAGTTTTATTTTAGAGCAAATCCCATATTATCTGATTTTAATTTTTTTTAAATTATATAGGGTGACGTCGAAACTTAATGCGATAGTAAACGATCCTTGTATAAAATACGCTATACTCGCTATTTAAAAGATATTCGTGATATTAAATATTCTATATTCCATAAAAAATATCGAGTAAACTTGTGGTAAATATTACAAACATTAGAAAAATATGCTGTACTATATGTATGACAAATTGACAGAAATCTACCGGTCGAGGGGTAGTGGTGTACTTTTGGCCGTCATCAATACTATTATTTCAAATTTATTTATTATTAGTTATTATAAGTGGTAATGCAACCCCTAGTAAAACCATGCATAGTACAGGTAAAATGTACCTACAATCAAAGTACCTAATAACCTTTTATTTACACAAAAATACGCAAATCTTGTTCGGGCTATTTTCACTTATTTATTGACTAATTTGTAGGAAAATTGTCGCTACCTATCATGTTGGTAGAATTACAATTTACAGTCAGTAAATATAAAAACAGTTTATCATTTGTTTTTCATCAAATTTACTCAAATGAATCTTATATGATTAGTTTTAGTAATTATTTCTGTTCGGAAAAGTCAAAAATCCTTTTCTACGGAATGCAGGACGTATAATTGCAGCTAATTAATAAGAGCTATGTTGACAAACAGCTTGCAACAAGTAAAAGCTGTTATAGCAATGTTTTTAAATCATCTAAATAGAAGCAATCTGAAAGACAATTATTTGAAATTAAGATATTTTTAGAATCACATCTCAGCCAAATTGTTATTATCAAATAGAGACAGAAAGCATAAAGCGTAATGTACGGTTTCGCCTAAAATACTAACGAAAACGAATATAGAAAGTTAAAAAAACATTAAAGTTAAAGTTAAGAAACAAAATTTTTTCAGCAAACAATAAAATACACATAGTATGTAACGCAAAAACCCTCGCAAAAACGCGCAAGCCACACAATTTTATCAAAACAAAAACATGTTTGCAGTTAAAGCAAACTGTTACACTTGGGCAGTGTGATTCAGTTTTCAGTTATTTTTCACCAATTAGAAAATACTGCCCAAAAATTGATTTAAATCATTAATGCCAAATTCTTTACTATCAATTTATGGTTATGATTTACCTTAACTAAAAACGAATTCAGCAGAAATTCGACACAATCATTTACGGTGGAACTGGGATGGGCGACAACCATAAACAACTACCTCTCGCAGCTAAACACTTAATACTTGTGGCGACAGCGACAAAATGAAGAGTTGTATGTTGTATGTGTCAGTAAGCGTACGCTCCACTCTAACCTGAAAAATGTAACAATTTCTTGTTTTTCATTACCCATTAATTTTATAACATACAGAAAAAAATAGTTTTGTTGCACTTAACTAAAATTTCAAAACTATTAACATTTTTTGAACATAAGGGCACCAAGTTAGTAATTATTGTGGTACTATTTTTTATAACCCTGACGACGCGGAGGAATTCAATATGGACGGCGTCGCATGAGAGACAGGCATTTAAAGAATTACGTCACGGATATACATAGCAATTCGGTCACTATTTCGTTATTGATATCATTTATTCTAAAAACGATTGGACCAAGTCACTGAATTCGGCATGTAAATTGTTATTGGAATTATTTTATTATATAATTGAATATTGGATGCGGCAAAAAAATTTCTGTTTTGTTTACTAATAGCAGCGAACTAAACATAGGGTCTGGTAAAGTTTACTTTTATTTTTTTTCTATCCAGATAGAAATGAAAGATTTTGGTGAATGATAACGAAATGGAACTCCTGGGAACGGTAAACCAAAGAAAATAGTTAGTTACATCGGCACTTATTTCCGCAAGTTTAGCGCGAACAATGACGTCACCTATCTACTTCGATGCTGAGAGTTCAAAACGATATTTTGTATATATAGTCTAATTATACTAGCCTTGTGATACGGTTATTTTCACTTTTGATGCAATAAATTTGGCTTTAAAGGTAAGTTTTTATTACCGAATGTGTGGCACGTGATACGTCTCATATCCCCTTTCGGTCGGCTAGCAATTTTATCTATCCTCTTTTGCTTTTGCTCATTAGGTTCTTTCGTAGGTATATGGATCTATGGTTAATTATTGTTCTATGATGGTTAACCTGTTTCAAATTTCTTTTGGTGTTAGCACGTTGTCGTGGAAAGTGGGTTCTGGTTCAGCGCTGATCAAATTAATAGATAAATTTGATTATCTCGACCAGAAAGCCAAGATTTGAGAATAAAAATGGTTAGTGAACGTTAAGATGGAAATTTCTTTTTCTTCTCAATATGACTTAAATATACAAATACTTTTGAAATATCTATTACTGGATATTATGCGTTTTAGGCTACCACGAAAGAAGTGAATCCAGAAAAACCCGGTCAGGAAGTTGCCCCAATTCATCACATCAGAATAACTCTGACATCTCGCAATGTTAGGTCATTGGAGAAGGTATGTTCAGATCTCATTGATGCGGCTAAAAAACAAAAATTGAGAGTGAAGGGGCCAGTTCGCATGCCAACAAAGGTGCTTCGTATCACAACTCGTAAAACACCATGTGGTGAAGGATCCAAGACTTGGGACCGATTTCAGATGAGAATTCACAAGAGAGTTATTGACTTGCATTCTCCATCAGAAATTGTTAAGCAGATAACCTCAATCAACATTGAACCTGGTGTGGAAGTAGAGGTTACCATTGCCGATGCCTAATTTTATTTTTCTATTTTTAAGAAAATAAAGTTTACAGAATGACAAATATGTTATTTTTTGTGATTATGAGCTACCCACTTTTACATCCTGATCAGAACAGAATAATAGAGTATTTAGCAATTTTGAAAATAATAAAAAATAAAACAATAGTGATAATAAAAATTGTATTTTAAAATGAATACAATTCTATTACAGTAATTCTAAGTCTACCATAGCATAGAAGATTTGAGAGTAAGCCTTTCTAATTTTAAACTCATAGACCTTTCATAATATTGAAAACACTCTTTAGATATTATGAAAATATATTACGATTTTTCCGTTTTGTGTATCAATTATATCAAAAATATACACAAGTAGAAAGAAATAATTGTATAAGTCCAAAACAGGTTTTTTCAAGATATAAATATATCAATCTTTAGAATCTAACACAATATACACTATACATGCATTATACAAAATAATACAGTAATACATTTTTTCATCTCGTATAAAACATAAATACTCTTTATTACACTATAATAAAAGTTATACAGAATTTCATAAATGCAGACAAAAAACTGAACCAACAAATAGAAAGTTACAATACAAAAATGGCTAAATTTTATTATAACCTGGTAAAATGTAACTCAGGACCTTTAGTACAGAAAATTAAACCAACACTATTTCACAAAAAAAAAAGTGGTCGCTTTATATTGATAGCTACTACCTTGTGGAAAATGCAATCCTTTTTAGGGATGAAAAGCTAATTTTTGTTACATGTGAAAAATAAACCTTGTTATGTGGATGCGAAAAAGATTTAGATTAGAAAAATTAAGATATGGAAGCTGGATTTACTTAAGTTGGTAATATACTATAATATCATATTGATATATACCAAAATAAACCAAGTTATGGATTTTTAACTTTTGTGACTGCAAACAATAAAAATGACTCCCTTAGGAAAAGGGTAGACGACAAGTTTCTATATAAAAATTTTAAATTTACAAAATATATTCATGGCTATTGCAATAAATGAAATCTGTGCTAGATTTAAAGATTTATTTGATGCCTCTTAAATATCTACAAACAAACTCTAGTTAATGCTACATGATGCAACCCAAGTGTACTCTGTTCCTTTTTATTGTAGAAAGAAAGTTGGCAACCTTGTCTACAGTGTGTCCCAAATTTGAGCCTCATCATTGAGTTGTCGAGACCGTGACAGTTAAATGAACATCCCGTTGGGCAGCTGAATGTTATTGACTTTTAACATCTGGTGACATCTAAATGATGAGCACTCAAATTTGAGATACCCCGTATACAGTTTGTTATATAAAATGTCACCCTTAACAGATGCTTTATAGATTTTAAGTAAACAAATTGAACAAAACACATTTGTACTTAAACATATAGGTGAGATGTTTAACAATGTTGCTTAAGTTGCCAAGGGTCACAAGTTCACGTTGATATTAACTGAAAAAAAATTATATATAATGCGTTTTTTATATTAACCTGTAAAGAATATAATAGAGCATAACTAAAAAAATAAAAAACTTTCAAAACATAAGCAATGACCACAGGCAATTTTTTACGTGGGTGTTTTGATAACTATGAATAATTAAAAAACCAGCAAAATGAAATAAACATTGTAGCATTAAATTGCTGATAATGTTTGTGCCTACCAAAAGTTAAAGTATTTGGTGAAACTACAATCATCAGTCAAAAATTCATCAATTCTGTAATTGAAGATATACTTACAGATTTCACTGTTGATTTGATAAATTTCTTTTTATTCGTGAGATCAAAATCCGGGTAATGATCATACACTCGCTGACAAACAGTCTTCATTGTGATCTCCTCCAGGTTGGCTCCTTCTAATATGCTTTTAATAAACGATTTTATTTCCTCGTCCTACAAGTAATAAAAAAATATCTTTTGTAAACTTAATTTTGTCCCCTAAGATCAGGAAAAACTTACAGTTGGTGGTTCTGCATTTTTAGTTTTTTTCTTAGCTAAAGGTTCATCCTCTGAAGAGCTGCCTTCATCAATGTCCATTTTCTCATTTTCTTCTTCATCCTCTGAACTATCCTTAGCGCGACGCCCTCTGGTAGGCTTGCGGGGTGTGGCTTTAGCAGGGCGACCCCTTCCACGACCTGGCGTTTTAGGTTTTGCTTTATTGTTCACTTTAGTATTCTTTCTTTTCTTGGTCTTAGGTTCATCCTAAAAAATATAATAAGTGGAAAGGTGAAATTAGTAACCATCAAAAGCATAAATCCATAACACAAATACTCAGATTCTAGATTGTACAAAGCTGGATAGATTGCAAGATAATTCAATGAATAATTTAAAAATAATAAAACAAAAAAACATACATCACTCTCATCGGAAGTGGCTCCACTCATGCTAGCTTCATCTTCATCAGATGAACCTTTTTTGGCGCGGCCCCTCTTGCGTTTGTTTACAGTTCTCGGTTTATCTTCGCTCCCGTCGGAGACATCCCCAGGTTGAAACTCCTCATCGCTCGAACTTTGTTCCTTTAGGCTAGCTCTCTTTCCTAAATAAAACGCGAAAAAATGAAGAGTGTATTAATGCATACTTGTGAGTTTAAAAAAACTCATTCAAAGCAACATGCGGAAAAAATTTAAATTCAATTAGTCAATGCAAAACACCACCAACAGTAAGATACTTCTTTGCCTCCTTAGGTAGCCAACTTTCTCAGCAACCAACTTAATCTATAGAAATAATATTTTCTCACAGATCACCAACCTATACTTAGAATTAAAACAAATAAGCAAGTGTGCTACAGTTTAAAAAAAGACATTTTTACAACTTTTGCTAATTTAAATTATTTTTGACATTATACCTCATCATTCTAAAGTTGATACAAAGAATGATTAGCAAAATTTGCATTTTCTCTAAACGGCAAATAAAAATTATTGTAATCTTATCAATCAATTCAGGCAATTACAGAAAATCTTATGTTCATATGCATGTCTCATTTTGGTTTTTGAATATTTATTTTAAGAATTATTTATATTTATTTTAAATAGTAAAACCAGATGGAAAACTGGGATTAAAAAATGTGACTGAATATATCAAATTACTTGAAAGTAATCCTCATGATTTTTTAAATTATTTAAAGTTAACAAAAATTTAATTAACACCCAAAAAATATATCCTATCTCAAAAACTGGTAGACATAAAAATAAGGAATTTATTTTTACCAACCTAAGTAAAATACAATTTTATTTAGTACTATCTGGTTGAAACTTGGAATACTGATCTGTATAAAAACTAAAAAAATTAAAAAACTTACTTATAGTGGATAAAACGAGTCTCTATCCATAATTATTCTTTATTTGACCTCTTGCTAATAAAGTACTTAACCGCAACATAAATGCAAAACAGAAAGTTAATAAGCAAACATTAACTTAAAAAGAACTACATTTAAAAACAAAGAGCAAGCGTACAGGGCGGTTTTTTTTTTAAATATCACTGCAAGGTGTGATTTACCTTTATCTCTTCTGACCCTAGAGGAATGTTTATCATCACTTGAGTAATCATCATGTGACGAATAACCTAAAGGGGAAATTAATATAACAAATTAGAAATGCACACATATATTGAGAATTATTCTAGAAAAAATGTACCTCGGTTGTTTGCTCGGACAGCTGATGCTCTTTTAGGTCTTCCACCTCCTAATGGCTTGCCAGAATCTTTAGGCTCTAATAAAAAGTCCACGATTCTCTCAACAATTTCATCTTTAGTGCCTGCTTTGGCAAGGTCCAGCTGTTCACAGACGATCTTTAAACTTTTAGCCTAAAATTTTATTTTCCAATAATTATTAACTTATAACTTAGGAATAATAAACTTACTTCCAACTTTTGCAGAAGTGCAATTTTTTTTTTGTGCTCTTCAGAATCCTTTTTAAAGGAAAACCCATTAAACCTTTTAATATTCTTCTTCAAGGTATTAGACTTTCCAATTGTTTTAAACAATATCCGGTGCAAAACTTTTAAATCGTCATTTCTGAAGCGAGTGATACAAGCTTCAACACGAGGTATTTCACCAAGTGGAATGCCTGAGCCTTCTTCAAATTCAGTTTTAGTCTAAAACATTCGCATCACATTATGAATTATTAACAAAATAAATCACATAGTGTCAGAAACAAATAATTTTTATCTATACTTGTTTCATAATGCAATTTGAGTTCTCTTATTTATATCAATTGAGAGATAAAACTGCTGGTGCGATGGCCGAGAAAGAGATAAACTGAATTAAAAAAATTAGAAAGTGAGAAAAGGGCAACCATATCTTTTTCTGGCCTTATAAATAACATTACTGATTTGACCTTTATTATAATAAATGCATTTCAAGGCAAGAAAAAAAATTATGGATAAAATAATATTTTTACTAATAGCTTTAATTTTTATATTTATGTGTTATATTATTTAGAAGCTCTCAAGTATTTCAATTATTTGGATACCACAGATAATATTGTTGCACTCAATGTTAAAGGTCACTATTACCATTTAAACATGATAACTAAAGTCTAGAAGAATAAACTATACAAAACAATAAACGTTCTTTACCAATCCAAAGTATGTTCACTTATTATTTTATTGTATAACCTGTCAATCATGCAAAACAGTCTTTAAAAAATCTAAGAAAACAATGTTGTAAAACAAGGAACTTCAGACTAGCAATGTAAGTATTTATATCTATTAAATTTCAGAACATTAAAAGAAATACAAAAATATATACTAAGGTGCACTCTACCTCTTTTGATTCCTTTTTATACTCCTCTTCAAATCTTTGGACATTCTTGCGTTCTCGTTTCCCAGATGTCTCTAATGGTTGGTCCAACAAAGGCACACCCTTCTTTTTTTTTGGTTTAGTGTCTTCTTCACTCTCATCTTCTTCCTCATCTTCTTCTGCTTCCTCATCTTCTTTATCACTGTTTTCATTTTTTTCCTCTTTAGGTTTAACATCCTTTCCTTTCTCTTCTTTTTTAACTTCTTCATTTTTTATACCATCAACATCATTCTGAGATTTATCTTCTTTCAACTCGTTTTTGGCTGGCTTTTTATCTTCATTTTGGGGGTCTTCCCTTTTATCTGGTAGACAGTCCTTTTCAGAATCTTGTTCTGATTCCTCCTCAGTAGTCGCTTCCTTAGGTTTCTCTTGTTCCTGCAATTCTATATCCTTTTCTGTTGTTTCCTTAACAGCATTTTGTTTGGTGTCTGTGGAGTCTTGTGATGAATCAGTTAGGTTGTCAGTGCCGCTTTTTTCATTGGCCTAAATATTAATTTTATTTATTAACAACCACTTATCAAACAAATATTTTCAAATTTTAGGAGATATATTTTTTGTAAAAAACGTTGTTTCCCGCTTTTTCAACAACAACCGCCATATTGAAGGATGCTCAACAAACACGATTCTTATTATAATGTTACTAGAGAAGTTCAATACTGGTTCAGTTGGAAACCAAATAAAGAAAAAAAAAGTGATACTTACTCCCAAAAATTATTAAAAAGTGAAATTTACTTACGGTTGATAACGCACTTTTAGCAGAATCACCTTCGCTAGACATCGCAAATGTCATGTACCATATACCGCGTCTCGCGTCTCTACAAACGGGCAGTGATCACGGACATTCTTTTAGACCACAGTATTTGAAGTGGTGTTTCTAATTTAACAGCTAGCAAAAACTATTTGATTTCCTCGAAAACTTCCCTAGGTAAAAAAATCTATTAAATTGAAACTGGCTTGTATTTGTTAAAATCACTAACCTGAATCCTTATTTTTTTACTCTTAATCAGAAATCAAATCCTATTTTGGTTAATAAGCGGAGCACAATTTCATTTGTTGTGTCATGCTAAGTTTGAGGATTTTAAACTAAACCAATGATTTAAATGAAATAAGTAAATTAATTATAAATTCATTTCGTCTCGTCTGGTCTAAAATTTTACTTTCGTACACAAAGGTTAATATTGAATAAAATCGTCGAGAAGCCAATCAACTATACATATAAGTAATTCGTAAACATTGTTTGCATTGTTTTTGGGGTGTAAGGGGTGATGGCAAGACGGTCCAAATAAAAGCCAGCCCTAATGCCAACCTCACCTGCTCGAGCGGTGGTAAATATATCACCCGGTGCACCCTGCTAGATAACAGACGAGGCTCTGGCGACCGAGTACCGGCGGGATAACCGTACCAACGAGATAGGAGGAAATGCTTATCTCAGGACCACGCAGAAGGACCAGGGGCCCCACTGCGTCATATATCCCCCCAGGAAAATTCATGATATTGATGATTTGATGAGTATTACGGGATGTGTATTGCCGAGCGATCCAACTAGCAATTGGCGCCACTCAGGGTCCGGGCCTAGTGGTGTGAAATGGGCGACTGGCCATGTGCGTGTAGGAAACCAGGCATCACATGGAAAACGGGCTACTGGAATGAACATATGGAAAAGTTTAAAGATAGCCACCTGGAACGTTCGCGGACTGCTAGAAGCCGGAAAGTTCGCCATAGTAGAGAAAGAAATAAGCAGTCATAGCATAGTGGGCTTAGCAGAAACGCATTGGAAGGGCTCAGGACACTTCATATCCAGAAACAATAACATCGTTTTTTATTCAGGCAACGAGGACACATCTAGAAACGGCGTGGCCATAGTAATAAACAGGACACTTGAAAACTCCATAACAGAATACAGAGCAATCAATGATAGAATCATCTTGATCAGATTTAACGCGCGTCCTGTGAAGCTGAATATTGTACAAGTGTATTTTCCAACCAGCGAAGCACCAGATGATGAGGTAGAAGAATGCTACGCCCAATTAGAACAGCTACTAGAGACTCTACCAAATCGAGAAATCACGATGCTAATAGGCGACTATAATGCCAAAGTTGGAAGAGAACCTGGAGATGAACATCTAAACAAAATTATCGGCAAATACGGTCTGGGAAAAAGAAATGTTAGAGGAGAAAGACTGCTGCAATTCTGCACTGAGAACAACTTTTTCATCACAAACACGGGGTACGAACATCATCCAAGACGACTATACACCTGGACCTCACCTGGAGGCCTACATAAAAACCAGATAGACTACATCCTAGTAAAATCCAGATGGAGGACTTCAGTAAGGAATACCAGGACTTACCCAGGAAAGGACTGTCACAGTGACCATCAGTTTCTCGCAGCAGAGCTCCGCATAAAATTAAGCAGATCGCAGCCTAATAAAACCTTTAGGAATTGGTCGGGCCTTAAACATAATGAAAATTTCAGATCAAAGGCTAAAGCAGAAATCTCCAAAATAAATTCACATACGCAATCAGACGATGACTCTAACTCATTGTGGAACAAAACAAAAACTGCACTGCTAAAAGTGGCATCACAAACTGAAGCTTCTGTGAAACAGAAGAGGAAAGCATGGATTGCAGAAGAAACCTGGAAGAAGATTGAATCGCTGAAACAACTCAAGGCCACGGGCTTACACAGACATGAAGATAGAGAACAATATAGCAGGCTCAACCAAGATATCAAACACCAGTGTAGAAAAGACAAAAACAAGTACCTAAACGATATATGCGCCGAAGCTGAGCAACATTCGCACAACAACGAATCAAAAGACCTGTTTAACAAAATCAAGCACATTACACGCACGTTCAACTCAAAATCCTGGGCGATAAGATCCGAAGCTGGTAAATTAATAACAGACAAAGCAGAGATAAAGGAAAGATGGAAGGACTACTGCGAAAAATTAATGGAAGACACTGCAAACTCAAACAATGACACAGAAAAAAGCACATACAATGGAAAAGAACCTCCCATACTGAAAGAAGAAGTAAGGACAGCAATTACCAAGCTGAAGTCCAACAAGTCGCCTGGAGAGGACGGCATTGTTGCTGAAATGCTAACTGCACTTGAGGAAACAGGAGTGGAATTGTTTCATAGGATCTGTCAAATGATATGGGACACCGATACTTGGCCCGATGATTGGACGAAATCGGTCTATGTGCCAATACACAAGAAGGGACCGAAGGACATCTGCGATAATTATAGGACAATAGCTCTAATCTCACACGCTAGCAAGGTCATGTTACACATAATATCAGAACGTATAAAGCCTTTCCTACTTCCACAACTACCACCAGAGCAAGCCGGCTTTGTCCCGGGACGCGGAACTAGAGAGCAGATACTAAACCTTCGACAAATAATTGAAAAATCAAGAGAATTCAATGTGCCTACCTACTTATGCTTCATAGATTACTCTAAAGCTTTCGATTGTGTACGATGGCAAAACTTATGGACGATTCTAAATGAAATGGGCACACCTGGCCATCTAATATCGTTAATTCAAAAGTTATACGACAACAATACAGCCTATGTCAGAGTAGATGGAGAACTAACCAACCCATTTAGAGTGGGTAAAGGGGTCAGACAGGGCTGCATACTAAGCCCACTACTCTTTAATATTTATGGCGAGTGGATTATGAGGAAGGCGCTCGATGAATGGCAGGGAGGAATCACCATTGATGGCATCAAAATCTGTAACCTACGCTACGCCGATGATACGACACTAATCGCTGCGTCAGAAGAAGAATTGATCAGTCTCATACGTAGAGTTGAAGCGACGAGCAACGAAGTGGGTCTACAAATAAATAAGAAGAAAACCAAAATAATGATAATTGATCGCCAAAATAACAACAGACCTGAAGTAAAACAGATAAATAACATCGAGACAGTTGATACCTTCATATATCTTGGCACCACAATATCGAACATGGGCGGATCTAGCGAAGAAATAAAAAGAAGAACTGCCATAGCGAAAGAATCCATGACCAAACTAACTATAGTGTGGAAAAGCCATCAAATATCCCTTAACACTAAAATAAGATTGGTCAAAAGTTTAGTGTTCTCAGTCTTTCTCTATGGATCAGAATGCTGGACGCTGAAAATGAATGATAAAAGGAAGATAGATGCATTTGAAATGTTTTGCTGGCAACGAATGCTGAGAGTGTCCTGGACCGAGAGAAGAACCAACCAATCCATCCTACAACAACTTGGATTTAGGAAGAGATTGAGCATCGTTGTCGCAGAGAAAATTGCAAAATTCTTCGGTCATGTGGTTAGAAGAAATGGCCTTGAAAGACTCACACTGGAAGGAACGGTACACGGCAAAAGATCAAGAGGAAGGTCGCCCACAAGATACACGGATCTTATAAAGAACCTTACCGGCAAAAACCTCTGCCAGTCATTCAGGATGGCAGAAAACAGACAGGAATGGAAGCTCACCACAGAAAGCAATCTATGAACTCACGATGCTCGAAACCGAGCAAACGACTAAGAAGAAACATTGTTTGCCTTGACATAACGATATGTGCAGCTGGTAGTTTTTTAGCCTGCAACAATTCTGGATGCAGGTATCTGCTGCTAATTGCTAATTGGCCTGGGGGTTTGGATTGAGGTTGGATTTTCAGTTTATTGATAATATGCATGTAGTATTCCAGGGTTCATAAAAGTCGCTTCTTTTCGTTAATTTCGACTTGTTTGTAAATAAAATTATTACAATGGCTAAAAGATTTATTAGAAAAAAGAAAAATTGCAATTTTAATGCGGCTGTAAGGTTGGCTTAAATCTTCTTCTATTAAGGATTCAAAGTGTTGATATTTATTTATTGTAAAAATTATACCGTCATTTTTGATGAGTCCGCCAGTAGACTTTACTATAGATATTATAATAAAAAATATATTAAAAAATAAGAATGAATAATTAATAAGCGACCTATATTTTTTGTAATTAATTATTGATATTTATTTCAGGCAGTTTGCCTTTAAAATGGAGCTTGAAAGGCAAGTTTATTGCTTTAATTTGATATTTGTAGGTTATGTTATGTTGTCTTGTAATTTAATTTTTAATTTTTTAGAAATAACTTGACTTGCCAATTTTGTGAGATGGAATTTTCAAATATATCGACCAAAAACCGACATATACGGGCAAAACACTCTGGTCAAGAGGGATCTAGATCTGAAAGAATGCATCATATTTTATGCCCAATATGCACAGACAGGACTATTTCTTTTTTACTTCATACAGACTTAATTAAACATTTAAATCCTTTTCATAGCTTAACTATTAATGAATCTACTTTGCATTTTAGGAATTTTGAAGAGTTTTCGGTTTGGAGGACCCAAGAGAATAGGGAAGTAAATTACGCTTGCCGTACACAAAAAAAATATCAACACAGTCAAGAAAAAATATTTTATGAGTGTAACAGAAGTAATTAAAAAGGTTGTGTGTTTACTAATATGTGAGTAGGCATATAATGTCTCATATTTTTTAAGGATTTGTCAGCTCAGCTAAAAAACGAAGTGTGAAAACTGGAGGGGGACATGTCCTTCAAGAATTGTAGTTAACATTTTAACTGAGGTATAAATAATATTATAATATTATTGTTATCTACAGATTAACTATATTTTATTAGGATTTGTGACGTAAAGTTTGTCGAAAAACATGTAGGACACATTGATGAACTAAAGACCAAGTGGTTATCAAAAACTGAACAGGAGACTATTGTCAAAAAACTAATTGGAGGAGTTTCAAATAATAGAATAATTGTAGATTCACGAATAATTCAAAATGATCATTTGCACAGAATAAACCTTGTCACGAGAGGAGATTTGGCATACTTAATCAGGAAATTTAAAATTGTGTTAAGAGGAGAGATGCAGATGACATGATAGCAGTAGCACTAAAAGTTGCAAGCAAGAAAAGTGGTAAGTACAATTATTATTATTTAAAATGTAGGAAAAGCATTGTATATTACTTTTGCACAAAAAAATGGTATGAGTAGTGTTATATTAATTAGATATTTAAGTTGGGTGTGGATAAATTTAGGTTGGTTAAAGTTTTGTATATATTATTGAGTTATTCTGCTTAACTTTTAGTGTGTGTTAAAAGCAATATAAATTCCTTGGTAATTTGCTTTATGGTGAAGGTGGTAGAGATTTGCTTTCATTGTAGGTGAGAGTTTTTCTGGGTTAAATGATGGAGATTTTGCAATTTTGTATATGTACGGTATTATGGAGACAAAACTTCCAGCTTTTAGTCAAGTAATTTGTATAGATAGAACACATCGAACAAACAAGAAAAATCTGGATTTAACTATATTATTGGTTAAAGATGAGAATAATATTGGTTTTCCTGTTGCATTTTTATTTTCTAATAGATTAGATCAAGCAATTCAACAAATATTTTTTAGTGCTTTACAGGTTAGACTAGGGGAAACAGTAAAGGCTTATACATAATGAGTGATGATGACCCAAAATACTACAATGCTTGGTGCCAAGTGATGGGTACAAACCAGAAACCTAGAAGACTTCTTTGTACATGGCATGTTATCAAAAATTGGAATATTCAAGGTAATGATGGAAGCAGATAAAATAAATGACAATAATTTTATATTCATCAAATGCCAATAGCTACCAACATAAAATTACCCTAGAAGCTCATAAGAAAGCAGAAGAGATGGTTGATAAGGTAACCGTTTCAAGTAATAGTAATTTTAAGGTGCAATCTGGTGCAGTAAGTAATAAACATTATTTTGTACCCTATAATGAGGCATGTGATGTAGAATGCAGAACTGGATATTGCAACAAATGTAAAATATGTTTACATAATTATCGCTGTAAATGTCCAGAAAATGCTGTTAAAACTGTTATTTGTAAACATATACAAGCTGTAGCAATGTTTGAGCAGAGATGCGAGTCTGTTTTAGATACTGTAAGCTCCGATGATGAAGAGAGGAATGATTTGCATATTGATGAGCCATCAACATTCAGGGTACGTTAACTGATGTTACCCATTTTATTCAGGAAACGAAGCCCATTCTCCATGTAGACACTATTGCATTTGAAGATAGGCGACAGGTTTGAAAAAATTAAAATTCGAAAAAAGAAAAATTGAGAAGCAAACATATTATCCTAATAAAAAATAATATAACTATTTATAAACCTTTCATTTTCATATAATATTTTATTTTTTAGATAATTGCATACTTTAATCAGTGTTTTATTTATTGCATAGATTTTAATTAATAAATAATAATTGTATGATATAAGATGTAAACAAATTTTATTGTCATATTTTATGTCAATTTACACTCAAAATACAAATAAAAGCAGTATAAAGACATTGTCAATTTTATTTTATAAACTTTAAATAGAATTAACACATTAACCAAAGTTTACTTGGTCAATGATTAACAACAAGCGATCATACGTATGCGAAATGCGTTCTCCAATCTGTCGAGAAAGTAAAGAGCGCTATGCGGATGCCAACTTTAAAACACCTCGATTTGAATTTGGCGCCATAGTGAAAACTAGCCGCCGCGTTCTGATTGGCTCGGCACGTTGGACAATTAACGTATGCTAACTATATGTACGAATGCAATATAATTTTTTTTTTTCGCAATAAGTATGTGCCCCCTTTGATTGAGGCATTTGATTTGATTTCACCTTATCTGAGTCACATTGACTCGTATAATGTTTTCCCCTGTTTTCAGGTTGATATTGATTCCCAGATTCATTCTGTGCATTTTGTAGATTCGGGGTTTTCTAAGAATTTTCCTAATGAACAGGTTTTTCGGGAGATGTGTGAACAGAAGTGGCCTTCAAATTATGCATTTGTTTTTACCGATGCCTCTAAGGAGGATGATAGGGTGGGAATAGGAGTTTATATCCCCCATCTTAACATTAAGTCAGGATGGGAGTTGAACCGTTTTTTTAATATTTGTATGGCTGAAATGGTGGCAATTAAGCATGCATTTCACTTGATACATACATATAATTTAGTTAGAGCTGTAATAGTCTCTGATTCTAAGAGTGCCCTCCAAAGTCTGAATTCTACAAAGTTCAATGCTAAATCGAGTGGTATTTTCCTAGATGTTAAACATAGGTTGAAAGTCCTGGCTCAGAGAAGTTTTCGAATCTCTCTTTGTTGGGTTCCTAGCCACTCCGGTATTAGAAATAATGAAATTGTGGATAGGGTGGCCAACCAAGCTAGAGAGAATGTCTAATTGGAATTAAAACATGATTTTACTGAGTTTTTTAGAGTTGTTAAAAATAATCTATGGATTTCCTGGTCTTTAAATTGGAGAAGAATGGGTTCCTACAAAGGTAGGATTTATACCAGCTTCCACGAGAATTCTCCGGTTAAATTCTGGTTTCATGGATTGCATCTCACCAGAAAAGAAATTACTACTATGTGCTGAATAAGAAGTAATCACTGCTGTTATCCGGTACACCTATGCAGGATAAACGTAAAGGCAAATAACTTATGTGAATGCGGAGAAGTAGGAGACCTTAATCACATATTTTTTGATTGTGTGAAGCATCGGAAATACTCTCAATCCCTTTATAGAGACCTGATTAATTCCCATGTTCCCTCTCCTATTTTTTGTGAATAATTTGGAACGCGATGCCAAGGCTGTATGTAACTTTATTAGTGCATGTGATATACGCTTGTAAATAGACTTGTGTGCATAAATTTGAGACTACATAGTGACACTTTAAAATAGACTTTATTGTGCATGGAGAGTAATGTAACTGCCCTATTTAAAAATTGTGTGGACTTGTAGGAGCATTCCTTGACGGTAGTCGGAAATGGGCAAATGTCCTTGGTTCACGTGCCCATGTTAAGGAAAGGCAAATAAGAAGAAGATGATCTGTACTTGTAATTAATGTTCTGTGGTTGAGTGATAGGATTTTTGATACTATTTCCTAAATTTTATAAAGAATTTGAAAGAAAACAAGTTTTCTAGGGTCCTTTTCGACAAATATCTGTGAATAGCGGCTAGTCATTAATAATTTTGATTTTTTTTTATTTTAGTTTTCTGAACATTTTTAACCTAACATTCACATATTCTTAAAACATGCCGCTTTCCTGTCGATTTTATAAAGAAAAATATCCTGAAGTGGAAGATGTTGTGATGGTGAATGTAAGAGCTATAGCCGAAATGGGCGCTTATGTACATTTGTTGGAATATAAAAATATAGAGGGTATGATATTACTCTCGGAACTCTCTAGAAGGCGTATTCGGTCTATTAACAAATTAATTCGAGTAGGCAAAACAGAACCCGTTGTAGTTATTAGAGTAGATAAAGATAAAGGTTATATTGATTTATCAAAAAGAAGAGTCAGTGGTGAGGATGTAGAAAAATGTACTGAAAGATTTGCAAAAGCAAAAGCTGTTAATTCTATCCTAAGACATGTTGCTGAATTGCTCAAGTATGATTCAGATGAACAATTAGAAGAATTGTATCAAAAAACTGCTTGGCATTTTGAAGAGAAATACAAAAAAAATAAAGCATCAGCATATGATTTTTTTAAACAAGCTGTTGCGTAAGTTTCACATCTTGAGTTTTATTGTTATGATTTTTACAATCATTTTAGTGACCCGAGTATACTTGCTGAATGTAATTTGGATGAAAAAACAAAAGATGTCCTTTTGAGTAACATAAAACGTAAGTTAACCTCGCAAGCAGTTAAAATTAGAGCTGATATTGAATGTGCTTGTTATGGATATGAGGGGATTGATGCTGTTAAGTCTGCTTTAAAAGCAGGTCTTGCTTTGTCTACAGATGAATTGCCAGTTAGAATAAATCTAATTGCTCCTCCATTATATGGTAAGTCAAATGTTCCTGAAATGTAAATAGTAAAGTGTGCTAATAAATGGAAATTACAATGTAATTTAACCAGTTAACAACAGAATATGTAATATGAAAATAAAATTACAATTAAAAATAGTAAAGATAGTAAAGCTAATGTTATCAATGTTTAAGTTTCATGATTTATTAGTATTAATAATGTAAATATGTGTATTAATTAAAGAAATTTTGATTCAAATAATTCTTTTTTTTTTTTAGTCATGACCACCTCAACACCAGAAAAACAAGATGGTTTAAAAATATTAGGGGAAGCAATAGAGCAGGTTAAGAATAAAATTACTGAGTTAGGCGGAGTTTTTAATGTGCAAATGGCGGTAAATATTTTTTAGTTAATGTTATGGCAGTTTCTATATATTAAAATATTTACATTACATATTAATTCACTCTTTAGCCCAAAGTGGTAACTGCGACGGATGAAGCTGATTTGGCTAAGCAAATGGAAAGAGCAGAGCTTGAAAATACTGAAGTTGCTGGTGATGATGATGATGAGGAAGAGGAGGAAGGACAAACATACAGTGATGGTGAGGACCAAGAACAAGGTGAAAATGGTGTTAACACAGATAATGAAGTTTAGACAGCATCTTATTAACTTCATAAGTGAGCCTTCAGCAAGTTTGTAAAAGGTCAGGATTTATTAAATAATTTTTGACTTGGGTAATAAAGTCCACTTTTGTATGTTAAACTAATAAAATATCTGTAAATGGTTAATGTTTTATTAAAGCTATCCAGCCTTTTATGGAAATGGGAAATCCATAAAAAATTGAATTGGTGTGTGTCTCTTTTGGCAAAAAAATAAGGAGTCAGTGAAGCTCTTTATAGTAAAATATTTTATAAAAATTCACATTATTAACAAAACAAATAACATAGTATCAGAAACAAATAATTTTTACCTATACTTGTTTCATAATACAATTTGAGTTCTGTTATTTATACCAATTGAGAGATAAACTGTTGGTGCGATGGCCTTATAAATAACATTACTGATTTGGCCTTTATTATAATAAATGCATTTCTAGACAAGAAAAAAAATGGTTAAATAATATTTTTACTAATAGTTTCAGTTTTTATATATTATATGTGTTATATTATTTAGAAACTCTCAAGTATTTCAATTATTTGGATACCACAGATAATAATGTTTCACTGAATGCAACTTGGGTAATAAAGTCCACTTTTATATTTTAAACTAATAAAATATCTGTAAATGTTTAATGTTTTATTAAAACTATCGAACTTTTTATGGAAATGAGAAGTCCATAAGAAATTGAATTGGTGTGTGTCTCTTTCAGCAAAAAAATAAGGAAATTTAGTGAAGCTCTTTATAGTAAAATCTTTTATAAAAATTATTAGAAAGTGGTATCAGACTTGGGTAAACGTACTGGGATATCTCGGTACTTCTACGGGATTCTGGTAGATGTCTCGCTTCCGCGACATTTAGTCCGCGCAGCACACGTCCGCCTGATTCTGCTGGATGCCGCGCTTGCGCTAGCGTCAGGATTCCGTAAGTCACGGACCGCGATATCGCGAGAGCCCCCCACATGGCCTCGCGCTGGCCTGGCGTCGCGAGGAAAATGCTTAATCGGATTAACTAAATGTAAATTGCTCACTTAATTACACAAATAGTGAGAAGTTTTTGCTGTATTCATACTTTTGAATTTGATACTGAAGTCACTCAATGTGCAACAAAGTGGTCACTGTCAATGAAAATATGATATCCGAAATATAGAATTTGGATGTCCATTCATCTTTCAGGATAAGCATATGCATATCCAAGTCAAGGATTTTTGTTACTATTTGTACTCCCTTGAGGACGAGATGGGGAAAATATGTACTGGTACGATATGTGCGGCGCACTCCAAATTTTGATGGTGTGTATCGATCATGCGTGACTGCCGCACGTACCTGCTGTTCCATTTTTTTCGCACGCGGCGACGCTCATGGAATCATAGTATCGGACGCAATAAAAATAAGAAAACTGCATTAATGGGTAAAAGATAACAAAAAGACAGTTATTTTTTCTTCAATATATGACAACATAATTTCTCGCCACGCATCTTCTCTATACGGTTTATTATGGTATTGAACTAATTTTGTATTCTAGAGCAATTTTTCTCACCATACAATCGAATCAGTTCGAGACACTTTTCATTATCCATTGATCGATGCGCGACAAAGAGACACGACTCAAAACGCTCCGCTCCAGAATTTTGACGCTTCGGTATTGAACTTGGCGCAATCGATACACAACTTCACTCGGCTTGTTACTTTCGAAAATCGATGAAATCGAATTTTTCGAAAGTATCTGCGCTCGTATAAAAATTTTATATCTCGGTAATTCTACGGGATCACCGGTGGTACAGAAATTATCACCGCTTTTTTTTTGTCTGTTTGTCCCTTCTCCGTTGTCGTCTTTTGGTTTTTCCTGAATAACTTTCGAACCGTTGGAGCTACAAAATTGAAATTTGCCTCCTTTTTAACCCTCCACGAGGCACATAAGCTTATAAGAATCTTTTTTTCGCGATTTTCGACTGTTTCTTGAACCTTGCTATGAAACGCGATAACTGTCCGTAATTTGAAGCTAGCGACTTCATATGCACATATATGCAGCTTTGCCTCGTGACGGAACCTATTGAAAATGGGGGGGCTGGGGGGTCGAGAAGTATTTAAAAAAAAATAAAAATCGCGTGTTCAAAGGTCTACAAAAAAGACCGTTTTTCAAAAACGGTTTACAAGACCGAAAAAAGTCTTGAACTAGAAGACGCAGAGGAAACGACTCCATAAACTTTTGAAGCTGACGATAAATGAAAAACTTTTAAAGATGTGATAATTTGATATAAACAGTATCGTCAACTGTGTTGAGAGAGAGTTTAAGGTTTCGTCTATAATACAGGGGGCGCGAGACATTTGAAAAAATATAATTTTAAATTGCAATTACCAGTACAAATTTTAATATTTACTAAAGTGTGCCGTAACTTTGGAGTTCGACGAGATATGAAGGACACTTTATACAGGGTGGAAAAACAATGCGTCCCTCTAGCACAAGAATAAGCGAAGCGCCTTATTTTTAAAATAAAAATCTGATTGGCGCTAATTGCGACGAACTTGCCCCGCCAGCAATGATTTTTTGAAAGCAATCTTGTTACTTTGGAAAATCGATGAAATCGAATTTTTGAAAGTATCTGCGCTCGTATAAAGTTTAAAGTTTTTAAGTATTGTACAGGGTGTTCGCGATGTTCCGTGCAATATTAAAAAACATAATGAGTACTCCAAATTTGCAGCTAGCGACTTCAGACTTGGAAGAGAAATAAAAGTGTGGACCCGCATTTAGACACTTTAAATTGGGATCAATAAAATAACGCGAAGTATTTTTTTTTAATTTTTGATTTTTTTTGTGATTATTTTGGCATCCAGAAAAACATCTTCCCCTCCAAAGCCATTCATCCGATCGGCGCTATAACTTTTGTTTCACGCATTTTTTTTATTATATACAAGGTGTTTTGGTTATGGACAAAAAGCTAAAAGACCTTGAAAATTGTTCTATTAGAGAGTAAATTATTAACCGTAAATCAAAATTCGTACAGGCAATAGCTAATCCGTTCAAACATTGTTATAGGCCGTATCAAGGGCTACAATTTTTGTATTTACGGTTTTCGTCTATCACATACGCTGTTCGAGATATTTGAAAAAATCCAAATGAAAATCACCACTTCGCCCTCAATCTAGACACGATGACGTCATTTATAATTACCAATTACTGCATGGTTTCAGAAAACAAGTAGTTTTTTGAAAACCATTTACTACATTGGAAAAATTCGAATACCAGGAAACTAAGGAGATCTAGGGCTATATCCTCCATTTCGAACATTGTTGGAATTATATACAAGGTACGTCGTTTATGGGCAAAAAATTCTAATAAATTCTAGAAATTTCCGCTTTTGTGGGTGAATTATTGGCGATACATGAAAACTTTTAAAGATGTGATAATTTGATATGGACAGTATCGTAAGCTGTGTCGAGAGAGAGTTTACGGTTTCGTCTATAATACAGGGGTCGCAAGATATTAAAAAAAAAAAATTAAATTGCAATTACCAGTAAAAATTTTAAAATTTACCGAAGTGTGCCGTAACGTTGAAGTTCGACGAGATGTAAAGGACACTTTTGGGTGTATTCACAATCAAACGACATCGATTTTGCGAAAGTTCCATAGTGTACCACCTTGTTACTTTCGAAAAATCGATGAAATCTAATTTCGAGTATCTTGCAGGTGAATAATTTTTTTAAAAATTTTGAAATTTTGTCTTAATTTTAACTGCATCATCAGAACAACGAACAAGCCTGAAAAAACTGGGTCAACTAATAAGAAATCCAAAAGACCGTTCCCACCTTAAAAATGAAATAGTCAATAGTCAAAAGCATTACATAGTGCAAACAAACATAAAAATATCAGCCTGAATCCAACAACACAAACTGGCAGTAAAGACCAGTCAAACAACATGGGCGATCTACCAGCATTATCTGCAGTCGGCCTACAAAATGGATTTTGAAGAAAGCAAAGAGATCGCAGATGAAGCCTCCATACTCCCTGGAAAATGGTATGAAACCATACTCATAGGAAAAATACACAATTTCCTATCTCCGCAGGTTGTGCATCAAAAATAATAAATAAATCAATTTACGAAAGCTTTTACACATTTGACTTTACTTATAACTTCAAAGTGACACAACGAATTTTGCCTGACTTGGTGTCGTTGAAAATGATTCTCCAAGCAAGCAAGGTCTAAAGGAATCCGCTCGTGGCAGCTTGGATACCCTCACTACTCCAAGTGTGACAAAATACGTTTAGCCATTTTCTGTTCGGAGATACCCTCCAATCGCTTTCCGTTTTGATATAGAGCAAAAACCATTCAACGAAAAAGAATTGAATTTTTCCCAAATTTAAAACTTAAGAATGCGATTAGATATGCGATAATTTTTTGTATAGACGAGAATTATTTTTTGAGATAGCGCCGAATGTTCTCAAAATCCAGTCAATATTTTTTAAAGTGGTCAATAAAAGATTTCTGTTTATCAAGAGAATACTGTCATCAAGGCCAAGTTTCTTTAGAATCTTATCTTAGGTTCGGTCAGTATAATTCCAAAATTAAAATGTTAAATTTTAGTAAGAATTTGAAACTTTTTTATCACAGAATAAATTAAAAATTTTGTTACTGATCCACAATTTTAAAGTAATCTTGATAGCTGGGCATTTAAATTTTGGAAAAAACAAATGGCTTGCTTCAAATATTAGTTTCCTAACTGTTTATGTTTTTAAGTACTTCGTTGTATAAATATCGTAATAGTCTACAAAAAAAAAGAAAGTTCGCTTCCTCTGCGCTTTCGATATACTCGGTGACGACGCAAAAATACAGGCTATAACGCGTATCGCCGATCGATCAGATATTTAACTCATCAGAATATCATGGCAAAAATGTGAAATTGAAGTTTAGCAATCGCCAAATATTTAAACTAACTACAGGAAAGCACCGACAGAGAGTAGCCCTTCTGGTTGTTTGGTGTTACAAATAATATTTCATTTACGTTTCTTGGCACTACAATGACCCACCCTGTTTAAAAACATTACTCAACACTCTCAAATATAAAAAAATATCCGCAATCGCTGACCCCCACTCTGAAATTAAATATACATCTAACCCGAAAATGTATCTTTCGAAAAAGACCAGTTCAGAGTTGCCTTTGCAAGTGACCACATAGATCTGGCAATGAACTTACTGATAACAGTCACGCTTTTTGGGATCTTACTGTTATCAGTATATGTTTTCTCAAAATTTCGGTATACCTACTGGACCAGAAAGGGCCTGGCTCAGCTGGAGCCCACCTTTCCATACGGAAATGTAAAAACAATATTAACCGGCGAATCTTCGTTGGCCGATGGGTTTCTGGAAATATACCAGCAATTGAAAAAACAAAATCTGAAACATGCCGGAATATACTGGTTCTTCAAACCCCAATATATTCCTTTGGACCTGGGCATCATCAAGAATATATTGCAGAACGATTTCTGGAACTTTATGGGACACGGTAAGTACCTACGCATTTCGTTTTTTACATAATGGGGGTTTTCACGTTAGTTTCATTTTATTTTGTATCTAGATTTACATCCGAATAAGAAGCAGAAGAATTGTTGGAATTCCCTTTATTTTATACCAATTATGTAATTATTTGCAATTCAGGTTACCTAAAACAACTTATATGATGACTCAAAATGAAAGAGTTGCATGAAAATTGCCATATCTGTATCAATTAAAATGATATTCGAGTATCTTGCAGGTGAATAATTTTTGAAAATTTCAAATTTTGTCTTAATTTTAACTGCCTCATATTGAACTTGCAGTCGACTAAGGTATATCAAGAAAAAATTCTTCTCTACAAAAATTTTTTATATTGATATGGTTCGTTGCTCCTGACCTATGAGATACGGTAAAATTGGGTTTTAGATTTAGGATTTTTCAATCAAGAAAGCTCGGTAGTTGATTTGCAAGTTGTTAGTGTTAAAATTAATACCAACACACATACCTTTAATACCTTGCACTTCGTAAACTAGCACAAAATTTATATGGTAAACCTAATCTCTAAAAGTGATTAGTTTTATATAATATAAACTTTAAATATAAAAAAAGTGTATCTGAAACTAAAATTATTCCGTTATATTTTACGAGGAGTACTTTGGAATATATATGTAGTGCGGTTAGTTTTTGAATGTCACAAAAATTTGGAAAATGGGGTAGTAGATCACTAATTTTAGACTTGAAAGGTCGTTGGCAACAGTTGTACTGAACAGACCGGCCCTTTAAAAATTTAAAAATCTGACTTGAAATCAATTAAATGAACCGCAAACAAGAGTTACGACGTCCATTCATTATTATTATTACTATTATTATTATTACTTATTATTATTTATATTAAAAACCCTAATGAGATATATTGCTTCATTTTAACAAAAGGAAAATTTTGTTGAAGAAGTTCGAGAAATAATTAATTTGAACTTTGAATAACACAAGGCTATCTTAAATATGCGAGAGAATGCGCGATCTTGACATAAGTACTATACTAACAAGAAATAAGTATGTTTTGGTGTGTGGAGCGAGCGGTACGTAACGATTCTAACACCCTTTGTAAAAACAGACAAAAAGAATGGGATAGACCAGTTTGTTTTAACAATGAGAAAAACTCAAAGTTTGTAATTATGGTATGTGAAACCGATACGAAGACTCATTCTATAGTTATCGTTATTAATGCATTCCGACATATAAATCTCATTTTGTGACCTACGGTTCCCGCAGCTGTGACACAAGAATCTGTGATAAATCCCTCAAAATGCAAATCCAGAATATAATACTGGTTGGAAATAATAAATTTTCGCATTGATAACAACATCGTCACCGTCTAAATAAATATTGTTGCTAAATAACACGGGAAAAGAACGTGTTGTGGCCACACGAAGCGTAATAATGTCTAGCTGGCTGTTGATAATGCGTTTATAGAGCGTTTCTTACGCAAATCGTTGATTTAAAGGTTGTTAATTGGGCATTTTGTATAGCAACTACGACGACACGAGAGTGTTTTTTGGTCGTAGACCGAGTTTTCTGCTATGGATAGTCTCGCAGCGAGAGATCGGCATAAATTCAAAAGTGATGACAATATCTGCGACTAAAAACTTCTTTTTGATCAAGTTTAAAGGAAAATGCTGAAATAGTATATTATGCAACAAGTGCGGTAAACGGCATTTGACTCACGAGTTTATTTGACCCGAGCGGAGCGCAGCAGAGCGAGTGTTTAAAAATCGAGTGACTTAAAAAGTTTACCGAATGTGTTACATACTATGCTTTTTCTACGACCCTTAGTTTTTGGGTACATTTTCGAATGCACATTCACTGTCATGCTTTTTTCTACTCCCCAAACGCAATTATGCATGAATCAAGCGTAAGAAAAATGCCACTTTAAGACGTCAGTCTCGTAAAACACATTTATTTTGAGTCGGACATTTGACAGTTCAGCATAATATCACAACATAACACAGAACTTAACACACGGTACACAACTAACCAAAACTAACTAAAATAAATATCTCATCTAAGTATCACGTAGTGTCACAACACAACACGTCAGAAGAATCGGCTTTAGTTGTAAATAATTTCACCACATTTGGATCTTTGGCGCCTTCCGGAGCATATAGTAGTAAGCTTCACTTAAGCAGTTAGCTGTGAAAAAAATAATACACATTTTTAAATTTGCCAAATTGACATTTTGTTGGTTAGCGACACAGACGTAACTAGATTTGCTTCGAGAGTTGCAACGTGCAGACAAGAAAAATGACATCCGGCGAAAAAAATTTAATGCGAGTCTCTTGGAGTAATTGATAAGCTGGGCATCAACCACGAATGTCCTTGAGGAGAGAATATTTAAAATCGCACACCCTTTCTATATCAATGTTTATTTTTTTCAGACGCTCTGTAGAACATTTACCCTTTTAACAATAAAATTTTTAGCAGTAAAATTTAAACTCCACTAACTTTACTGCCGAGGCACCAAATTGTTACGGCGTTTTCCGTAGATTAGGCTCCTACTAATTCTGTTCTGGAATCCGCAAACGATAGAGAAAGCAACTTCTTAAATTGCAATTTTGGTTCAGTGTGAACTGATAAATGAATCGCCATTATTCCTTACAATAATAAAGTTTTACTAAGATTTATTTTCAATTCACTATAAGATTGAGTTAGGATCCCCGCTCATACTATACAAAACTGTATAATTTAATAGGTTTTTATCACAATCAACACGACATCCTCACCAAGAACCTATTTCGACTAGAAGGCGATGAATGGAGAAACTTAAGATCAAAACTGACTTCTACATTTACATCGGCGAAAATGAGGACAATGTTCGATATTTTGATGGAGAAAACTGACGATTTAGTGCAACTTCTTGACGAAACGGTGAAATCCCATGAAAGTGTGAAAATCGAAAACATAGCTACAAGGTTTACCATCGACGCAACTGTGAGCTGTACCTTTGGCATGGAATCTCATTCGCTAAAGAATGAGGAATGTGATTTCAAGTAAAGTTAAATTATTTTTTAAAATTAATTGCTACTTCCGTTACAAGAGATATCTAATTTTTACTTCTCGTAGACTTAAAACGCAAAAAACTGGGCGTAAGCTGAAGGGAACTATAATGTATTGTAGAGTATGAAGGAATTCCAGAGGAACTCTCCGTTCCATGTTCTTCGCCTCGGAATTTGAATCTTATTTCTTCTTTAATATCTGAAAAAATAATTTTAATTTTAATTTCTCTATAAATATTTTTGTTTCTATTCCTCCATTTCGGTTGAGGAATTTGGTACTTGTAGTAAGTAAGTAAACGTACCAATGGCAGTCGCGATTTGAGATTAAGATTCCAGAATTGTTCCTAATTGTTTGATTATTTGATCTATGTTTCCTTTTCTTTCGCAATAAAACTTTTAGTTGTGGTTATTGCGATTCAAAATGTAATATTTTCCAGTTTTTGAGCCCTAGAAAATGTATTTTTTAATGTTAACCAAAAAGATTTTTTATACATATACAATTAATTACCGAATTAATATACTACATTTAATTTTGTAACTAAATAAATCGTAGCAATGGAAATCAATCCTAACAAAACTTCAATACCTACCACAGTCAGAATGTTTTGCGAATGGTAGTTGGCAAGTTACATACATTTATGCATTTTAAGTTTTTATGTACCAATGTGGCAACATCTTGCTTTTTTAATATATACCACGTCATTTTTATTTACAATCAAACTCTTTGTATTCGGGGTAAATATTTAAAAATTCACTTTTTTTACTTTGCTAATTTGTCGAATTTGTCATATTACTATCCTGGGCAACAAAAGTGCGATACTCATTTTGAGAAGTAGCTAACGCATCAGTATCAGTATCTGTGTTCTGCTATGAAATGACGCAAAAATAACATGTCCAATTTCTTAATCGTCAGATATTTTTTTTTTCGGTCATTTATCTTATACTGGCGGCGTTTTTAATTTGTAAACGATGTGATAATTTGTAAACGATGTGATTACAATAATTTTATTTTTATTTTGCATCAATAACATACGTAAATTAGTTTATCTTAAATGGTTGTTAAATTCAATTGAGCAGAAAATATGATAAAACCAATTGGAGACCACACGCAACAAAAACAAAAGCAAAAATTGTAAAATAGTTGTTGCTTTTTACAGACGCACAATTCCTGGAAAAATGCGCGGTATTTAATTTGTGCACAAATTCAAACTACATCGTTTCTAAAAGCAGGTTGAAAATAATAGAATTACAGTATTAATTTTATGTTAAAAATAAATCAATAAACGAACATGTAAAGGATAACAAAATTTTCAGTATTCACGATTTTTTTTTCAATAGGTAAAAAGATCTTTACACAAATGTTCCGTAGTTATAAATCACATATTTTTTAAAAGAATTTTAAGATACTTTGAGTTATGACATACATACACAGGTATACCTATGTAAGTACAGTTTTCTTACAATTTTAAGTCAGTCTTCGGATTTATTATTTATCTTCGCTCATTGAGCGATAAGACTTTGCAGAACATGTATATAAAAAGGATTAAAAAATGCTGGGAACTCCCAAAAGGCTTAGCGCGTTTTAATAAAAATGGAGTTAGAAAAGGGCTTTTAATAATTTATCGTGCTATAAGTGAGGTGATTGGGATTACTTACCTTGCCACCAGGTGACGTTTTCTGACATAATTGGACAATCTTCTGCAACAAGATTACTTTTTCGCGTCATTAGGTAATTAAATAAGGGTCCAACAACCCAGTGAAATCCGCATCTCATTATTTTTATTCTAACCTAAAATACGAATGAAAGAACTTTTCCACTTTGCAAGTTGTTATTAATGACAAATTATTATATTATTATTTATTCATACATTTTTGCAAAAATACCATTCTGTTGTAATTTGCATTACCTTTATTTTTCAGAAAATACGGCGATAAGTTTGTAGAACCAAACCTGGCAGCGCCGTGGTTAGAGATGTTTGTTCCATGGAAAGTTTTGCCTTATACAGGATACAAAATATTTGGCGATCTAGAAGATTTTCTTTACCGATTGGTGCTAAATATAATGGATTACAGGAAAAAACATAACATTTACAGGTTAGATTACAGAATTTTGAATTAAGCAATAAAAATCATATGTTTCTTACCATCGAGTAACCGCTATCTAAAATATACCTAAGTTAGTTAAAAATATGTTTCGATCCTTGTACTCTAAAATTTTAATTAATAATTATACTGCGACAATTCCTCTTCTTTTCAGTATTAACATTTTTATTTTTAAGCCGTCTCACATTTATTATTTCAAACAACTTTTTGTAGTTATTTATTTTATTTATTTTTTATCTTAAGCCGTCTTTTATAAAATCTCTCTTTTTCTAGTTCTAAACGTCATGGGAAAACTGTTTTGAACCGTGAATACGAAAATACCATATAAAAACAGGACTAGATTGTTGAATGTACGATGATCATAGTAAAATTCACAGAATTTAATAAACATTGTTTTTACTTTTACTTTTATAAAACTGATGCTTATAATTAAACGTCATGTCACTAAAATCCAATTTAACTTATTTTCAGAAAAGATTTTATCCAGTTATTAATGGAAATGGGAGAACTGCAAGAATCAGATAGCAAAGAGGGGGAGTGCCCTTTAAGCAAAGAAGATATTGTGGCACAGTGTTTTCTTTTTTTTACCGCTGGATATGAAACGTCCGCCTCCACCATTACATTTGCGATGTACGAAATAGCTCAGAATCAAGAAGTCCAACAAAAAATTCGAGACGAGATCAACAAAGCGTTAGAGAAGTGCGACGGCAAATTGACTTACAAAGTGGTCTCGGAAATGACTTACTTGGAAAAAGTTGTTCAAGGTAATTTTTCACCTGGAATATTTTCATACAGTGGTTATTTAAAAAATAGTAACAGAAATTTTGTCTGTTTGCTTGTATTTTGAGTTATTTAATATCTATTGTTTTATGACTTTATTTATTGAAGCTGTTTACACATAGTCGGCACTTTGTCTTATATTATTGCATCTTTAAAGGCAGCGAACACGTGTTTCCTAAAACTACTTATGAGATATCATGACCTTCCTCCCCAAGCCCCTCTGATCGCACGGTTAAAAATATTTTTCGAGATATGGTGTGATTTTTAGCAACAGCATAATAAATAATATGTATCATAATTATTTCGTATTGTTCAAGTTATCCACATGGTAAAATTTATTTATATTTCCGGTGCAGTTGCACTACTGTTTTTGAAAATATCTTGTTTTATTATATTTACTTGAAGTTTTCGTCAACAATATAAATAAACTTTTCATTGCATTTACAGCAGTTAGACTTAAAGTTTTTGAGCTTTTTACTTGGTAAGGGATAAAATGAAGTTTCGGTTATTGATATCGTTTTTATATATTCATCTAGGAACAACTACATAGAAAAGGGTGTGCATTGATTTCTGAGTGATAACAATAAATAAAGTTTTTATTTGTTTTGAATTTTAGAAACACTAAGAAAATATCCCCCAGTTTCAACGTTGCCACGTTTATGCTCTAAAACTTATAAAGTACCCGAGACTGATGTGGTCATTGATGAAGGAACTATGGTTCAAATCCCAATTTTAGGGATACATATGGATCCAGACTACTATCCTGAACCGGAAGTTTTTAATCCTGAAAGATTTAATAATGAAAACAAAGCGAAAAGGCCAAAGTTTACATGGATGCCTTTTGGGGAAGGTCCGAGAACGTGTCTGGGTATGTAATGTGATGTGCTATCTTATTTCATTTTAATTGAGTATAACTAAAGAAAATTGGAAAATATAATTAAATGAATTATTAGTGAAAAAATGTCCCATGATGGACGTATGTTATAAATGTAATGCAGAATTCCGCATACATTTAAAGTAATGTTATTATGATATTAAGAATAACAAAACAATTCATTTATTCAATTGGTATTTTATAGAAGCTTTGAGCCGAATATAATTGCGTGTGATTTACTATTTATTGTTTTTTGGATGTCTTTTTTGTTTTAAAAAACTCAATTTACCGTTAGAAGAAGACCGAAGCCGTAGCAAGTAATGGTTTATAGGAATAAACGACATCCCCATTGGACCTAATTTTTTTGCTGCCCATGAAAAATTAAACGAAATTGAACGCCGTTCCTTAATAAGGGGTGTTTTTTTTCGATGTACAGAATTTTAAGTTGCAATAAAACAACGATGGATTATTCGAATGACATGAATTTTATTTATCCGAAAGATAATCTTGTGACCGCCAGGGCTAGCGCGGATGTAGTCCAATCTAGACGTCCAATTTTCGATGACTTTTTCCAACATTTGTGGCCGTATATTGGCAATAACACGGCGAATGTTGTCTTCCAAATGGTCAAGCGTTTGTGGCTTATCCGCATAGACCAATGACTTTACATAGCCCCACAGAAAGTAGTCTAGCGGTGTTGAATCACAAGATCTTGCGAGGCCAATTCACAGGTCTAAAACGTGAAATTACGCGGTCACCAAACGTGTCTTTCAATAAATCGATTGTGGCACGAGCTGTGTGACATGTTGCGCCGTCTGGTTGAAACCACATCTCCTGGACATCATGGTTATTCAATTCAGGAATGAAAGAGTTAGTAATCATAGCACTATACCGATCACCATTGACTGTAACGTTCTGGCCATCATCGTTTTTGAAGAAGTACGGACCAATGATTCCACCAGCCCATAAAGCGCACCAAACAGTCAGTTTTTCTGGATGTAACGGTGTTTCGACATACACTTGAGGATTAGCTTCGCTCCAAATGCGGCAGTTTTGTTTGTTGACGTAGCCATTCAACCAGAAGTGCGCTTCATCGCTAAACAAAATTCGCTTATGAAAATCAGGAACAACGGCAATCTCGTTTTGGACCCATTTGCAAGCGTTGTTCAGGCGTGAGTCTATTCATGATGAATTGCTAAACCAAACTGAGAATAAATCACTTGACAGCTGTTAAATCGGTCGCCATCTTGAACAATAATGCCAACTTAAAGTTCTATACATAAAAAAAACACCCATTAGAAGTTTGTCACAAAACCTGGCTGTGTTTTATTTGAATAACATTATCAAACTGTTTGCAGGTTCAGGATTTGGAATGCTTCAGAGTAAGATCGGAATTATGGGTTTGATCAAAAATTACAACTTTACCTTAAATGAAAGGAGTCCGCGATATCCACTGGTTATGAAGAAAGGTTTATTTACTAGCCACTCCAGTCGCGACATTTGGCTTGACATAACTAAAACAAACCAGTAAATAAAGGAATCTGATTCACAATTTTGTTTAATTGGAATTCTTAACAAACAAAAATCAGAAACTGTGATATTTATTTAATTACGCAATAAATTAATTTGTTCGAAAGTGGAGTCTCAATATAATAGTTTTTTTTATTTCATTAATATGTGTTTTCTATAAGGTACACCCAAGGATTTCTAAATAATGCGTGGAACACAATAATTCAAATAATTTATCTGTAATATCATCTAGTAAATTAGTATTGCAACTAAGGAGCTTAAGAGAAAAAGAAATTTAAAACTTTCATAATAATACTCGTTTTTTTTTATTTAATGAACTAATTTTCCTAGATTTTCTCTTTATTCCAATTTTTATTAATTACAGGAAAAACTTATTTCTAGTTTTAATTTTTACACCTTCAGTACCTCAAAACTTTTAAATAACATGGAATTACTATATGTTAATTTGACTTTTCGTTGCCTTTCAAAAATATTTATTGTTATTATAAAATGGAATGTACTAGGGTAGCTAAGTGCACATCCCAGAAAGGAGCACAGGTCATTTTGTTACATTTTGGTTACTTTTTGTTCAGTGTGCCTCAAAAAACAAGAACTTAAAAAAATGTGTGATTGAGTAGATAAAAATAGTATAAGTGGAATGTGTATTTAAAAACGGATCTTTGTATTTGTTCAGTTCTAAAACTAATTCGATTTCCATTATTCAGGTTTTCTTCGATAAGCAAACAAATTCTTATTCATTGCGAAACGGTGGTTCTTGAGTTTCTGTTTACCATTGAAGTGTTTACCGCTAGGAACAATTATTTAAAAGGGGTGGTATTCAATTTAATGTTATATGTATTATATTAAGTATATAGTGTCAGGGTTCGTTAAATAGGATGGTGAAATTAACTTAGCGACTTTGCTATTTCGTCCAAAATGTTTGTCAATGGTCCCGAGAGTGGCAGTTGCAGTGTGCAATGGCCGAGGTAGTTGACCTACCTGAGCCTTAGTGTCTAAAATTAGGATTGTAATTACTTTCTGGCGGTTGTTCGCAAAGTTCGTTCTTGAAAATGGACAGGAAAATGGAATGGAAAATTAGAAAATAATTATCCCATTGTTTTCAAAATATTCGGAGTTGGAAAAATTGTTGCAAAGTGTTCATATATAACTGGAGTTGGACAGTGAACAATATACCGACTTGTGCACGAGAATAAACGCAGCCCCATCAGGTCACCAAAAAGAAGTGCAGGAAGTAAATCAACTGTAATAGATGAGAATTAAAACACTGTCATCAGATGATTAACACACTCGTTTTCCTCAAAAAATAAATAAATAATTACCTACCTTTGATAAAATAATATTTGGATAAAAACACAAGCAATCAGATCGATTTATATCAGTTGATTATTTTATACGTTTCCTCTTTTCGGAGCGGCGCGTGGCTTTGGCTCCATTGCCTTCTTGCGATGGAGATCGAATATTCGATCCGTTAAAATATCAAACATAATATTATGCATTATTAGTATATTATGCAACAAGTGCGGTAAACGGCATTTGACTCACGAGTTTATTTGACACGAGCGGAGCGCGAGTGTTTAATAAACGAATGACTTAAAATATTACCGAACGTGTTGCATACTATACTTTTTCTACGACCGTTGATTTTTGGGAACATTTTCGCAAAAACAACACGAATACATTCACTGACATGACCGTCAGAATTGACAAACGTCCAAAATTCACAGCGTGGGAAATATCTCCGAAAACATCCGATTGCTTCCAAACCCGTGCAGTAAAATCCCGGAAATGTCCGAAGTGCCTCGGATCCGTGGGAAACAAAACTGACGTGGTAAAGTGTCGCTTCCCGCACGCTAGATTGGTGGGAGTAGACGGGAGTAGAAAAAATAAGTTAATGAGGACTTCCGGTGCAGCAGACCGTGGCACGGCATTGAAAATATTTCAAATTAAAAGAAAATGTTGAACATCTACCAAGAGAAACACTGTATACAGAAAAAGGTTTTTTTTTTGTTGTAAATACTTCCGAAGGCGCTTCACAATTTTTAATTACGTGTTTCCCGCAGCTTAGCGCTTTTTAAAAAAATTATCTTTGTCGACATGTTTTATCAATCAATCAAAAATTATCAGTAAATATAAACGATGCTGTCAAATAGATCGATTGGATATGGATATATTGTCAAATCACAAAACGACAAATACGATAAAGCGTATTAAATTTTATTGCTCAATAAAGCAAGTAACTACGATTTGCCTGAACGGAACCCAAATGGATTCTACAGCTGACTCAAACGATTACAAATTCCAGAAAGGCAAAAAGAAATCACGAAATCCGCTGAGCTTGAAGGTCCATATCAATACGGAACCACGTACTACATTCAATCCTTCAAGGGCAAAATCGAATAGGTAATTAATCGGAGATCATACGCCAAATTATATAGATATACTAAACAAATAAAAAGTAATAAAGCTAGATTCGATTTTTTCGTTATAGAAGCGATTCTCTTGGTGCCATAGAAGAATTAGTTCAATGTGGGATATGTCTGGATCGTCTATCCCACCCAAGGATGTTGCCATGTCAGCATACATTTTGTCTTTCTTGCTTGCAGACTCATCTTGCCGCTAAAAATTTGAAATTAAAAAAACTTCCGGTTAATGATAATGAACTGTAACCATTCGTAATTCATCGTAAAACTTTATATTGAGACTTCCATTTTTAGATCAATAAAAAAACACATCAACGTTAGGAATGTCAAGTGTCCTGTGTGCCAACAAGTTACCGACTTACCTGACGGAATTAATAATCTGGGAAAATTGCCCAAAAATCTGTATATTGACTCATTGCTTAGATTACTAAAAGATGATGGCTCGCTTACAACTCCTGCGTGCCAGGATTACAGTTGCGCAAATTGTCAAACATTGTCCAAAGACGTGGAACAATGTTGTCAACATTGTATGAAGGTAATGGACTGAATGTATTTTTTATAGTTAGGTGGTACTTTCGGTAATATTTTTAATTGCTGGCTCGAACTTACGTCGAACATAATCAATTTGAGCACCAGAGTTATTCAGGGTTATATTTATATATTATATTATTTTATCATAAGGTTTGTGCTCGGGTTTATGATGAACCTGAAGATTTAGGATTGGTCGGAAAGTTTTTTAAATATGTTTTCAAAATCGTAACCTATATAGTTTTGATACTAAAGAAGTATTTAATTAGAAATTAAACTTAATTGTACGTCATATTTTCTTTTACCAGGGAATGGATTTTTTAATTTCTGTATAGCTAAGTGGAGATTTCCCAGAGCACACAAAATTATGATTTTTATTGCATCTAGTTTCCTTGATTTTTAAAAATGTAAGACAATGCGTTCGCCTAAAAAATATGCCGTTCCATTTAAATTTATCAAGTTATAGCTACTTACTAATAAATTAGCATACATTTTTATTACCCTATATAGATGGCAAGTTTTTTATATGAAATGATAATATGTTTATTGGTGTATATTTCTGCAAATTAATAATTATGTTACATTTTGACAGACTGCCGATTATTTAAGAGTCCTACACCAACATACCAATCCTACGTACTAAGTTTGACAGTAGAATCCAAAAAGGTTATAATTTGCAGGAGGTTCATTTTAAAAAGTACATCTTTGATACTTTTTGTACTTTTGGGGCAACCCGAATAATATAAAAGTAATTTTAAAAAGTAACCGCAACAGCGAAACGTTGAAAACCTTTTGGCCATCGTGCCAGGGTATTTTACTATTCCTACTAGAACTTTTGGACAACTGAATATGTTTTTTTTTTAATTTGGTGTATGGCAATAGTGGGCTTTCTAAAATAATTAGGCACCTGCAGCATTGTCAATTTAACTCAAAACAGACCACAACATTCTAAATTCAAATGAAACACTTTGTATATTAGTACGTTTTCCGGTTTTTCGCCTAATTCGCAGTAACTTTTGTTAACATTTTCCTATGCCTGTCTCCTCTCGAAAACAATAATTTTAATTTATTTTTGCAGTAATACCGCCGTTTTAAAATTTTACGGGGGTGAGCTATTACATTTGTTTAAATGACTAATGGAGAGTAAATCATACAAGAGGTTCCAGTAATTTATATTTCTGAAAATGAATTGGCAACGCTCCAGGTGCGCAAATATTTCAAAAAGATAGATCGTGGCGTTCTATGGCCATACACCAAACTTGAAAAAAAAACTATTTAGTTCTCTAGAATTCCTAATAGAACACAAAACGTGAAACGTGATATTTGAGACTTCTTCGATTACGGAAAAAGAAGATGCGAACCTTTCCAATCTTGGTTTGCAGTCATAACTATAACATAATCTATATTTTAGAAATATGTTGGTAATGGCAAATTTGGTACCTCTAGACATTATATGGGTATACTGAAACATTCATATTTTTTTTAGTTATTTTGCAATGTTTGCTGGAACGAACATTTAACCCAGTTAGAGTCAAATTTGTCACTGCTCGTCAATCAGTTGCTAGAGTCGGAGACTCGACTTAAACATAAAAACAGCAACTTCGATGCTCGGTGTGATAAATTAGAAGAAAAAGTTAGACACACCACTCAACGCAAAATCGACGAATTGCGCCGGTAAGTGGTGAACCTCCTCCGTAAAGAAACTTAATGTAAAAAGCAATTTGCTAAATTTTATAACTGTTGTGTAAAGATGCTTTTCACGAGGGCTGATACTTTACGAATATTTTTTGACAAATTTGCTAAAATAAACAAACTGCCATTTTTAATTTTTAATATTTTTAGACCACAAGCTCATAATTTTGTTTCAGTCTAATCTTACACTATTTTTCAGTAACGAAAAAAAGGTCATCGAAGAAATTGAAAGCATTAAGCAAGAGGGACATATTTCTGCGGATATATTAAACGAATGTGTAAAAAAATTAAGGGAAGAAATTATTTTGAAACCGGGAAAGACGGATTATCAAAAGGTAAATTTTGATTTAATAAAAGGTATACCATTAAGGTAATCATTTTGGATCAATTTACTGTTTATAGACAGAGAAGAGAAAATCAAATACAAACTTCAACTTAGATAATATATTTCAATATAATTCTACAAAAATTTTTATTGCAAATGCATACCACATTTATTATTATTAATACCTATATTGTAAAAGTGGTCAAAAAGCAATGCCATGCATTTTCTGATTATTTCCTAAATGCTGTTTTGCCGTGTTTGTTATTTATCGTGACTAACTAAACTTCATTTTGATCCATAATTAAGGAAATTAGCAGATATCTCCCCGTTCATTGTTCAGGAAAATAAACAAATTTACGAAAACTTCGGAAACTTTAACAATTTTACGTTAAATTTTCTAAATGTACAGGATGTTTATTATATGAATTTTACGTCACTATGTTAACTGTCAATATCAATGTATACACTCAAATTGATGGAAAATTTCATAACCATCTAACTTGCTTTTATTTCGCTATCCTTAATATAACGCCAAGGTTGGGCAAGGAAGGGTTGAGGATGTGGTAGGCGAATTCGGGCTGGGGGTGAGAAATGAGAGGGAAGAACGCTTAATAGAATTCTGCGAGGAAATGAACTTTACTATTATGAACACCTTTTTCAAACTGCCCTCGAAAAGACTGTACACCTGGAAATCCCCAGCGGATAGCAGCCACACATAAGAAACCAAATTGACTTTATAATGATAAACCGAAGATATCGCAACGCAGTTGTATCCTGTAAAACCTACCCAGGCGCAGACATACCGTCAGATCACAATCTGTTGTTGGCACGCACTAAACTCAGATTAAAGAAAATCGTCAAAAAAAGGCACTCAAGACGCATTAACGTACGGAAACTCCAACAAGAAAACATACTACAGCGAACCAGAGATAAAATTAACAACGAACTAGGCAATATTTCACAAACAAGCAATCACGGAACAGAAATAGAAGACCTTTGGAATAGAATAAAAACATCCATAGTTCCGTCACGGAAGAAGAGCTGAGGTAGGATAAACAGGCGAAGAGACAGGAATGGATGATGGATGCTATACTGGAACTTATGGAAGAAAGGAGACAATATAGAAACAGGGATACGGAAAAATACCGATAAGTGCATCGGAGAGTTCTGAGAAAGATCAAGGAGACCAAGGAACAGTGGCTGCAAGAAAAATGTGCTGAAATTGAGATACTGCAGGCAAAACACGATAGTTTTAACCTCCACAAGAAAATAAAAGAAGCAGCAGGACGATTCCAAAGACGGAATACAGGAGTTCTCCTCGACTCAGACAACAACACCATCACCGAAGTCGACAAAAAACTAGCAAGATGGAAAGAATATATGCAGAAACTCTTTGGAGAGGAAAACGTAGACAATGTGGCTGCAACGGTTAACACTGAAGGACCTACCATCACACAAGAAGAAGTGGAAGCAGCTATCAAAAGGTTAAAAAACAACAAAAGCCCTGGACCAGATCAAATACATGGAGAAGTCCTGAAGCTACTGGACTCCCAACAAATAAAACTGATAACCACCCTTTTTAACAAAATCTATATAGATGGCCAACTGCCAAAAGATTGGCTGATGTCAACATTTATCCCGCTACCCAAGAAAGCGAACGCAACTAAATGCTCAGAGTACAGTATTATAAGCCTGATGAGTCATGCTTTAAAGGCCTTCCTCAATATAATACAAGCACGAATTTACAAACGACTCGACGAGAACATAAGTGCTAATCAGTTGGCTTCAGGAGAGGACTTGGCACTAGAGAAGCCTTGTTCGCCATACAAGTGCTGATCCAACGAGCACGGGATGTCAATACAGACGTTTTTACTTGTTTCATAGACTTCGAGAGGACTTTCGACAGGGTTCGGCACGATAAGCTCATCGCGGTGCTACGAGAATCAGGAATGGACAACAGAGACACGGAGATCCTATCAAAACTATACTTACAACAAAAGGCTATGGTTCGAGTAGAAAACACAACGTCAGCAGAATTTAGCGTTGGAAGGGGAGTGCGCCAGGGCTGCATACTGTCGCCTCTCCTGTTTAACGTGTATTCAGAACATCTATTCAAGGAAGCATTGGATGATACAGAGGACGGACTTGTAGTAAATGGTCAAATTATAAACAACTTGAGATATGCGGATGATACCGTTCTTGTGGCCGACACTGCCGAGGGGCTTCAGAGACTTGTAGACCGAGTGGCGACTGCATGCGAAGGATACGGTATGAAGATAAACTGTAAAAAAACACAAATATTAATTATCAGTAAAAACGATATTGGAAACCTACAGTTTACTGCAAACAACGAAGCCATCAAAACAGCAGAGACAGTTACATACCTGGGCTGTACTTTGAACAAAGATTGGGACCACTCTCGAGAAATAAAGTGCCGAATCGAAAAAGCAAGAAGCACATTTAACAAAATGAGAAACATACTCTGTAACTTATCCCTCAGCGTCCGCACTAGAATAAGGGTCCTGAACTGTTATGTTCTCTCGGTCCTCCTTTATGGGACAGAAGCATGGACCCTTACCGATGCCTCGTGCAAACATATAGATGCCTTCGAGATGTGGTGCTACCGCCGCATCCTCAGAATTTCGTGGGTACATCATGTGACAAATAAAACGGTCATTGAGCGCATCGGAGGAGAAATGGAATTCCTAGCAAACATCAAACGCAGAAAACTGGAATACTTTGGACACATTATGCGCAATGAGAAATACCACCTACTCCAACTCATCTTACAGGGGAAAATAGAGGGTCGACGATCGGCAGGACGCAGACGAATATCGTGGCTGCGGAACCTACGTGCATGGACTGGAATGACATCAACAGCCCTATTCAGATCCGCAGTAAACAAAGTAATATGGACCAACGTGATAGCCAACGTCCACAGAGGACCGGCACTTTAAGAAGAAGAAGAATATTTAGATATAGGAATATTTCTTTTGAAGGGGTATTAATTATCTTCCAGAATAGTTAATACAATATAGGAAAAATGATATTTTTATTATTTTTGTTTTCAGTGGTATACAAATACATACATAACACATAAAATATACACACATAAAAGAAGTAATTAAATTTTGGAAAACCGGTAAATACAGTTATTAGGGAGGGAACAAAAATCAACTGCAATTGGAAGAACGGAAAATCCAATAATATAAAGGGCGTTCCATTTAAAATATCATTGTTGAATAGCTGGAAATATATTATATAGTCGTCCTTGCTTATGTAAAATACAAAATTTTCAGAACTGTCCTGTCTGGTTCACTTCGGTGAATCACCCTTTATACACATATAACAGAATATAAATCTAAATTATGCAGGCTGTATAGATTAAGTTTGGCCTCAATTCCGGGTTGGAAATGTGCTGTTTTTCATAAACCAAAAGAACTTAAACCTACAAAACATACAAAAAACAGTAAACAGTAAACAGTCATTTCTGGACATTAAATTACTAGCTAGAAACAGACAATTATTGAGACATTTTAGAAAATCTCAGAAATTATAGCCTTTTTTAATTTTTTTCTGTGCCGATTCGTGCTATTACATCATTTCAAACTGTGGCCTAATCAATCATAATCCGGAACTAACTTAACCTACATACATAAACCTTTCAACTAGAGTGGCTAGTAAAGCTTAATATAACTAAATTAAAAATTATATAATAATTATTTAAATAAACATAAAGTGACGAGGTGACGATTGAAAAATTAAAAAAAAATCACGGAACGAAGTTTTTTAACGTTTTATTATTATTATTATTATTATTATTATTATGATTGTTATTCACAGGTGTTTTGTTAAACGACAAGCAATTCTAGAACCTGTTCAAATTTAAACTTTAGTAATATTTAGAAGTATGTCATGTCGTACTTGAGTAATGAATGTTCCACATTGATAGACAAGGGGAGTAGGAGTATTCTCGTTTAAAGTAAAGCTATAGTCCCGCAGGAGGCCAACAAGACCAATTTTACTTTGCAGCATTCCAAATCTTAAACCTGGAAATAAACATTTAGTTACACAACTTTCTTATACATTGAAAATCATTATGTCAACGACTAGGTAACGACTCCATTCTGCAACAACGAACATGCAACAAACAAATCAATTGTGTCAATGTGAAAAAAATTGTAAGGGAAACCAGGAAACAATGTATATATGTGTGTATACGATGTATGTATACATTATTCAGTTCGATTAATGGAAATTGGGACGTAGTTTAACGTCTCCTTTGTGACAGAGATTACTTATTACAAATATTAAATACTACTTAGGCTTTCAGAAATTTTTCAATTTTGAAGCATTGTTAATTGTATGCACTTCTTTTGTTATTTGATGCTAATATATTGCTAATTTAATAATAATCCGACCCCGCTAACAGCCACGTGATCCACAAAGAAGCAGTAAATTATTGCGGTTTTCGAAATGGGTAGAAAAAACTTCCGATCCAATACAAAATTCTTAATTTGTTCATAAATAGATTTTCGAATACCTGTTAGTTTAAAATGTGTTATTATAATTTCTTGATAAACAATTCTTATTTTTAATTATGAACTTCAAGACGTATAAATTATGATAATCCGAATAAATCGGTAATCCGATGATATTAAGTTGTACTGTACACGGACAGAAATTATTGTTTAAACTTTGCATATACTTTTTCAATGATAAAATTGTTTATTTTGAAACAAATTCTTTAAAATTAAATTTAATAAAAATATTGATATAATATAATAGTGTCCAAATTAATCAGGATATTTTTCAGATGTCACAATTATTTTAATTTATCTTTTATTAAATTTCCAGAAAGTCCGGTTTTAAAATTATAACCCTATAACCAAATTTACCTATACATATTCTCGGGCCCTCCCCAAAGCCCAACCACGAAAACTCTGGTCTTTTTGCTTTGTTTTCTTCAGTGAACCGTTCTGGGTCGTATTTTCCTGGGTCCGGGTAGTAGTCGGGATCCATATGTATTCCTAATACTGGAATTTGTACTGTCGTACCTTTTTCTATGACTACATTAGTGCCGGGCACTTTGTAATTTTGAGTACAAATGCGCGGAATAACCGAGACAGGAGGGTATTTTCTTAAGGTTTCTGGAATTTTCAAAATTATTATTAACAATTGTTCAGATTTTCCAAAAAAATCAATAAAACACATCAAGGGTGCAATGGGATAATGTTGACAATAATCTTAAGTTTTAGTAAACAATAATTAAAAGTTTTGGCGCAGGAGTTCTCTTTTTTAAAATTTTGTTTCTATATTGAAGTATTTGCTGAAAATTACATAGAACAAAACTGAAAACGTCAATTTACAAGTGGAACTGTTATAAAATTATTGATTCCACATGAAGCATTACTTACCCTGAATAACCTTATCCATGTAAGTCATTTCCACAAGTGCGTCGTATGTAATTTTGCCGTTTTTATTAACTTTATGTTTTATTTCTTCTCTAACTTTATTCTGAATTTTTGGATTTTTGGCCAATTCGTAGAGAGTAAACGTCATGGTTGAAGCCGAAGTTTCATATCCGGCAGAAAAAAATAGAAAACACTGGGCTATGATTTCGTCATTAGTTAATCCGATCGTTTCGGTTTCTCCTTTACTTAACTGATTGGATTGTCCTGATTTTTTCATTTGAATTAGAAGTTGCATAAAATCTTTTCTAAAATGACAAGTATAGGATATCCCATCTAAACTTTAAGCAGAACAATTTAAAAATGTCCATTGGGGATATATGTTGTTGTTATATATGTTAAACATTTTTTAATAAATATTTCAAAATTTTCTTAAAAAGTCCTAAGGGTTTTTGATACATAAGAATTTTTTTCTAAATAAATTGAAAACATATTTTGCAACGTTTCCCTTCACTCAGCTGGGTAATCTATATGTGAATTTTCCTGGAATTTTTTAAAACTTGACATGACGCTAGAATAAATTTGATCATACACGGTTGGAACAGTGAGAGGAATTTGGTGTAAAATTGTCTATAAGGTATATATTACCTACCTTTCCACATTATTTTTCGACCTATAGTAGATAGTTTCAGTAACGATTGTTTCAAAAAATTCTCTCACATCACCAAATGATCGGTATCCAGTATAACTTAATAATTTCCATGGAATCAAAGTTTCCACCCATTGACTAAATATTCTTGGGGCAAAAATTTTATTTCCATTTATTCTACAAACAACAGACGGTAAAAATACATAAAAACCATTATCGCTTTAGGTTTGACAGCAAGCGACGTAATTTTTAAAATTTCAAATTGAACTGTTTTTGTTTCCTATGGTTTATCCCAAGTCGACTTTCAATAGGTTTTACCTTTACGGTGCATTCTAACATCTAACAAGTTGATATGGTCGAAGCTTTACTTATTTTTAATACTTAAGCCATTAAGAATTTTGGAAAAAATATCTATTATTAATTTTTCTTACCATTTTAATTATTAGTAGTCGTATAACTAATCATTAAACAGATAAAGCTTCGACCATATAAATTTCATCCCTTGGTCCCTTAAATATTTGACATTGAAAAAGATAGCAAGTATAATGAAATTCATTCATCTATTAGAAATATGAGTCAATATCGATTGACAAAAAGATTGACTTGGGTTTACTAGGTTAAAAGTGGCGACGATGCAACAGAATGTATTCACCTGAATTCGCAATTGCCATCCCTCATTGAATCGCATTCCAGCCCGAAGGCGCAAGACCCAATAACGTCAGTGGTAAATCTAGCCGACACGTCCTTAATATTTATTGGCTCGCCCGCAACCACGCAGTCATTTGCCATAATTTCCAATCCTTCAATTTTATTTAGCAATGTATCGAACATCGACTTTAATTTTCCCGAAGTAAACGTAGGACTCAGTTTAGCTCTCAAATGTTTCCAAGGTTCGCCTTCCATTCTGAATAATGTTTGGGTCATTAAGTCTTTTTCATGTGTGTACAAACCTGTAAAATAACATTATCAGGCCATTATGTCAAAAAACGCCATTTGATAGCGAGATAAACAATCAGAATCGCCTAACTCATTGCCTAGGCAACACCCTTTTCTGGCGCCAAGTTTTTTTAAATTTCTTTATGCCTTTTTGGAGTAGTTGACATTTATTTTGTAAAAATATTCATTCACTCACGACCACCAAGAGCAAAGAGTATTAAGCAAAGAAAATTTTAATTTGTCTCAGTTTTAAGGCATCAGTACTTACTGTAACTAAGGTTAATATAAGAACTGTTTCTGTAGAAACCGAATTTTAAAAATCATTTCAGAAACTAGAAAATAATTTCCGCAATCTTCTCTTTTCGGTTAACGGTTCGGAAATATTTTTTTTACATTTATAGGGCCACCCGATTTCCTTATACCGTGCCTCGTTGCGCTTATTGGGACATCCGGTACATGTTTGCCAAAACGTCAACTCACCTCGGCCCGAGAAATGGACGAAATCCTTCTGTAAAATGCACTTAACAATTTCTACATCTAATGGAATATACTGTGGACTGAAGAATCTATATATTCCGCCATGTCGCACTTTGAGCTTTTTAAATTTTTCGTAGAGCTCTAAGTACGTGTATCCTAGAGAAAACTGAGCGGTCAATAACTTTTTTATGTTTCCGTAAAAAAATTCCGGCTCCAATTGCAGTACGCCTTTCCTTTTCCAATATGAATATCTCCATTTGCTAAATATAAATAACAAAAAAGGCAATGTTAAAAGAAAAATAATTAACACAGTAAACATTCTCCCGATTCGTATGTAAGTCGATCTAAGCTTTTCATCACTTTATAATTTACAATGGAATGAATATTTTACGTAATCTGAGTTAATGTTATCCTTATCAGTTTGATATTGACACGAGAACGATATAAAATGAGTGAAAGTAATTTTAGAAGAATGGCAATAACTTTATCTACTGGAGACACAAGTTCATGTACGTTTTTAAATCGACTAAAATCGTCCGAGGTCGTCATATACATATGAAATTAAATAAGTCACACCGCGTAACTTAAAAGAATTGAAAAGTATTTCGTCCAAAAATATTGAAGTCACTAACTATTTACATAGTACTATCCATTAGACGGACTATTAATTTATATAACATCTATTTCTATCAGTTGATGATTTATATTTGCGCGCCAAACGGTCACTTTTGGACGGACTGGCAGGGAGCAGTGCTTCGCTTTTATAGAACATGGCCCCTTCTCACGATAGGGGTCGAATATTATCCGCTTCTTGATAGGCGGCATCTGTAACCACGCTCCGATTTCCGCGTACCCGAGTTTCTTGAAACGCAGACAGGTCCGGGCCCAGTTGTTTCAGTTCGTTGACTTTAAATAAGACCCATATTTTGTGGAGGATAGATTCTTTTATTGCGATTCCGAAAAAGAGGAACATTTTGAATATTATTTTATTAATAAGATAAATGTCATCCAAATGTTACATATTATTTTATAATATAATGCAATTTCAACTGTCATTGTCGTTTTCATATGTGCGGGAATATTATTGCTTGATCGATGACAATTTTAAACTAATTGAGAAGAATTCATATACAAAATTTTCCCTTTCCTTTCTTTGAACTTGACTAGTTTGCTGCTCATTTTAATTACCGTTATTAGCATTTGCAAATGTTAACTCTTTAAGTGGACTATTATTGGGAGAAGGCAATATTTATTGTATCTCTATGCTCTATGGTAGTGATAATTAAAAAAGTCGCGTCTTTTATTTGAGGGAGATGATAGATGATAATTATAATTATAAATTTTGGTTGGTGACGTCAAAGAATAATAATAGATGTATTACAATAATGTAATAAATAAGTTGCACAGATAATTTTTAGACGAACAAAAATTTAAATTGCACCGGTGCGTTTGTATATTGAACCGATTGATTGGAATCTCACAGACGTATGGCCAATCACTTGGCATTTTCAGTGGTTATGCATTGAAACGATGATATCCAGAAATGTTATTTTAACATTTTTCTATCCGTGAACTGTTTAGAAATAAGTTTCAACCTAAAAAAAAATGTGCTGCGGAAGTAGTGTGTACTTGCTCAATTTTCAGGTCAACTAAAAGATCTGTTAGATATAATCAAAGAATACGCATTGAAAATATTAGTAGTTATACTTAGATCAATTAAAATATTAATTTCTGTTCATTTGAAATGATATTGAAACGATTTTATAGAGTAGCTATTGTACAGGGTATCTCAAAAGTATTCTTACAGCACCTAACTTTTTTTTATTTTAAATGGAAGATCTTGTACATTATTTCATTTTTGGAGTTCTGAGAAATATTCCTCTTTGGTTCGTCCATACTTAGTTACAATAGCTTCTTAGATACCTTCATCATGGTAAAAATGTTGAAAGTTGTAGTATTATTTTAAACAATGCGCCATTTGATTATTGTTAATTCGTGGTAAACGGGAAGAAATTGTAATTGAAAATTGATTTTTGACTTATAGGGTATTAGCGTACAAGTAACAAAGTAAAATAAATTATTTTTATCTATTTTTAAAACACACATCTGTGATCCTACGTGCAGGGTATCTGCGACTGCGCGAAAATTTTGATTACGACCTGCTATCGGCAAAATTTTAGGACGCTCTCTTGTCTTTTCTACACCTTGGGAAGAACATTAAAATTTCATACAGTTCGAGGATTAAAGTTAGTGGTTAACTCCTTCAGTTTTCAAGACCTAGGGCCTCAGAAGCAGAACAACACCAACGGCTACCCGTGAGTACCCTGTTTCGGTTATCGCTGTTGTATGTTGCGCAATTGTACCTATGAAATTATCCTTTCGGTCATAATGTTGTACACAGGAAATAATTTAAAAAAAAAAAAGAAAAAATCGATATTAGATATTAAATAATATTTTGATTTGCAACTATCGAGTGTATCGCAGGTAGCGTTCGATCGGTGATAAAAAAATACGGTCGCGTGTTTTTTCAGTATTCAGCGATCGCAAAGTATCGTACGGTAATCTCATATCTTGAATTTATTTTGCGCTATTATTACGGGTACCATTTGTGTCCATCATTCAACATTTCTTATCCAATCATCGATAATAACTATCGAATATTGCACATCAGTAGATAGGTAGTGACAGTTCAAGAATAAATTTTCTCATTTTTACATGTAAATTGCCATAAGAAAATTTAAGGTTCATATCAGCGGAAATTGGTCCCGGTCAAGGTCATTCGATCCATATCCTTAGCACCAACCAACCTACCGTCTCCCTCAACCCCACCCCTCCCGCCCGCAATCTCGATATTCCTGTTGCCGTGGCATTAGTACTCAAAAAAAAAAAGAAAAGAAAAGTCGCTCCACCCACTGTGTCGACCACAGATTTAAGAGGTGCTTGTATTTTAAATCAGCGTCGTCTATGACGTACGTATTTTGATTTCAACGGCGTCTATGATGCAATACGTTGTCATGTACGTGTTTTAAATGAGCGTCGTCCGTGACGTACGTACGTTACGTACGTACGCAAGCGGGCGATTATAAAGTTTGTGGTTATGTGCGGTGGAACTCTTAATTAGTAAATATAGATCTTTTTTGGTTACATTATATGTACATATCATCATTTTCATAAAATAAAAATGCCGAGACCATCGAGTGGAGTCACTGGATCCATTGAACTCATCCGTTTACATTTTATGCTATGCCTATCAATGACTCCATATTGACAAACATCTATTAGTATGCCCATTATATTTCTTTGAAGGGGTTGACATATTAATTACTAAATATATGAATGTTTTCTTTTGTATGAACAGGAATTGCTTGTAAGTTATTTGCTAATTTACAGTTGGGTGCATGGCTCTTGCAATCTACAAGATATAGTCATCGAAAAGTCCCGTCAACAAAAATTGAATATAAACTGCCACGCGAATCAGCTTTCGATATATTTTTTCGTATTTTGTTGGTTCGGTGGTCTTGACGAATTGATGCGAAATTATTTTTAACTGCTTATATTCAAATGAAATCCATTTTATTTTTCGGAAGAAAGACAGGCGTGTTTACTCGTACGTCAGACGGCGGTCACTATGGTTTCTGTCGGCAATGCAGCTTGGGTAAGAATTTTTTCGACTAAGTAGCTGCCCATTCCATACAAGCCCACATTCATTTCTCTCTTAATTTGTTAACTAAGAAACCGACTGTTTTTGGAAATGAATAACCGAAATATTTCAAAAACTGTAAACATTTTCGTTCTTATCCTGTAATATCATATTCATGTTTGTTTTTTCTTTTGCTGTTCTTGGATCCAATTCTCATTGCCGTTATGTCGATATCATCCAGAATGCAAGGCGCACCTCAATCTCGTTACCGCCAACGCGATGTGTTAAGGCGTGCACGTGCGTCCCCACCATGAAGAAATTTTCCGTGCGCGGACAGGCATAGATGCGTTATCAGAGTCTTCGTATTGCCACTGTTGTTATTGTACGTGTGTATCAAGTCGCAAGTAATTTCAATCTCCGTTTTTTCTACTGTAAGTCTATTGTTAAGTACCTACAGTTTCATTATGGTTTCATATTTTCACAACGATAAAATAAAACATACCACTGAGAATATTAAATATTTTCAAAATATCAAGGACTTTGCTATGCGTAGAATCATCCGATATGCGATTTCACATTAAATAAAGCATCACCATTCTGGACCAGTCACTAAATTTAGAATACAATATTTCGTTGGAATTATGAACGTTCAATTATATTCTACAAATTTTAATTTGACCTTGTGATCTTAAGTTTTGACTTATTTTGGGTATTAAGGGTTCTGATGTAAAAAAACAAGATTGATTTACCATTTTTGAGTTTAGCAATAATGATCTATAAAAATTATTGTGGTTTCTTTATAGGATGCTGCTATATTAACGTTTGATGTCAACGAAACTTTTACTTTTGTTTAGTTTGCCAAAGTTAAATTTTGTGATACTTTAAATAAACGATTTGGCGTAAATAAATTTTATGCACGTGTCGTTGGGCCGATTTATTTTAAAGAATCCGTGTTACTACTCAACAGTTCACAAAAATCTTCTATCAAAGGCCCGGACCACACAATAGCGTTCAGTGCTACGTCCGTCCAAAGTTTACCTTACAGGACACTCAAATTGGGATTTTCAGTTTTGTACGTGTGCGGCACAGTGAAAAAAATGTCTGTGGTCGAAGCGCTTATTGGAGCCATTAGAGCTTTGTTGGCTCTTTCACTGGCTTCTCCTAAAAATGATGGTGTCACTCAGGGTATGAAAGAATGTACTCAATTGATAAGAAGAATCCAAAAGGAAATGCGGACTACGAAAACGGTGGGAGAAAAACAACGTCTGGTAGCTCAAATGGTCCAAGTTAAATCGTTTCGGAGTCAATTCAAAGGAATGCTGAAGAGAGGTTCGGGAAGTAGACCCGTAACTGCGAGAGATCGCGTTCACTGGGATGATGTTAATTCAACATTTGAATCGCGCATCAGGACTGGCGTCATAACTAACTTTCAACATAAGGAAGTGCAGAGTTTCCTCCAAGACTGTTTCGCACTGTTTCGACGACGTGTCAACAACGCGCTGAAAACGGACCAGGCCGTTAAAATAAACGCTGTCTTCGGGGGAGAATTTCAAATTCAAAAGACTGATCAAATCCAGACGGAAATTAAATACTTTACAACTTCGAACGCAGCAATCTACAAAGATACTAATTTAGAACAATGGTTTGAGATAAACGTTGTCTTGTCAATTAAAACCCAATTAGAGGAGTTCCAAGAAAAAGATTCCG